TTTTTCTGAGTTTGTAAGTGAGGAGTTGTCATGGACAGTAGATTTGTAACTAGCGTAAAATAAATTCCAATCTTGATAATTGCCGCTGAAGGAGACTAATTCCAGGGGGGGAGCCTGGGCCTAGATACAGGTGCATCTATCCCACACGAATTCCCACCCGTGGGCGCAGAAGAAAGATCAGAAAATGTCTGTTTAATTGAACAAAACAAATCTTCAAATGAGTCATATACATGAAAATTAGGTACGGCAGAAGGATTCTCATCAAGCATCCTACTATTATATTCATCAAGTACATCTTGAAACTTATTACGAACGTCATCGATGGTTATACATGAACTAAGAAACATACGTCTTTTTTCTTCCGATTCCGTAGCCAACTTTGACTTATCGTAAATACTTTGTATTCGTTGAAATAAAGCATTACGTTTAGCTTCTAACATAATAAGTTGACGACTAGGTGAAAAGGTAGGCGCATCTTTATCTTTACGTGACATATCTAATGATTTAACGCAATATAACTATAGGTAATTATACAGTGATCTGTCAATAGACAGCGTAAGCGGACAGTAACGAAAATAAAAATTATATGTAGGTATGTAGCGAGAACACGGTTAAGTGTTGCGTAGATTACTATATAAAATATAATGGAATGCGGGATATAGACATTTATATTTGTATATTATAGGTGTGCGGGATGTACAAGTATATTATGTATTATAGTTATAGGATACAATTTTAAGACTATACTATAAATGCGGTGATATAAATATTTATTATCTAAAGAGATAATACAGAGGAATGCGGGATATCATATGGTATTCTATAGCGGTATATAATAAATATGTTTATAAATAATAAACTATTACACATATAGGTGCTTGGTTGCGGTATAATATAAAGAAATAACAAGGCAATCCTATATGGCTACGCGGGTATGTCTGAGAAACAAATAAGTAATATAAGACTAAATAAGCGGATTTTATATTATCAATTTTGAAAGCGGTTTCTTAATAATAATATTAAACGAAGGACCTTGCGAATAAATAGCAAAAAGGGGTACGTTATTAAATGTAACTCAATTTAAAAAATAGCAAAATATCCGGTTCGCAACGGGCCAAAAAATGTTAAAGCGGTTCCCTAGGGATATGTATCCCGAGAGATATATTCCTTCGATAAGACTGTCGTCACAGATCACGGGCAAAGTAAGGAGTTACGAGCGTACCTGGCTTTCTGCTATGGCGTCTTGGTGCAGGAATCGATGATCGACGACGATGATGATCGATGAACTGATCACACACACAACACGCGCGGCGGAAATTAGTGTATATACACCTTGAATATTGCACACTATCTATATACACCTTGACAATTCAATAGTTTATTAAATCGTAGTGATTCAATTATTATAAAACGTAATTATGTGCGAGCGGCGTTTCTCAGACACGAGCGGGAAACGAAGAAGCAGCGCCATCTTTCTTTCCAGCGATGGCGCGGGCGTACTCGGCTCCTTTCGGCCCTAGATCGTGAGTATGTCTGTCCTTGTCTATTACACGAGATGTGCATTTAAACTAGTTGTGGCGCAAACATATGGTCTGTGGTCAAATTGAGAATAGATTAATATTGTTTGTCTTTAATATTCTTTGTCTATAGTTAGTCAGTCGCTTAGATATTAATTTTACCTCTACATACTAAATAGTTTCCTTGAGTGATAAACTTCAGATACTGTATATAATAATCTATCAGTCATGTATTGGCTGAATATTCCGATCGAAATACGCACTGGAGTTCCAAAATATATAACTGGCCGGTAATAAAGCGAACATTCATTCAAATAAAAAATAAATATAAAATAGAATCAACTTCGGCCGTCTTTTGTTTTTGTTAATAAAAAACGACATAAGCAAGACATTGTGTTCCGGTTTTCTTACATTAAATACTTAATTATTGATATCTACACGAGTTATAGAACAGGAAAATTACTCCTAGACGAAGATACCACCTGTGTCACTGTTGTGTTACAAACTATTTCGCGAGTAGCGTTCGTCATATTCCGCAAGAGACTGTCTCCGTAATCCTGCCACCCGAGCGTATTCTTCTGCTTGGACTCGGTCTTATTATTTAACAGTGTTCTGGATTGGATTGCTGGTCAGTGGGTACCGCTATTTTGTGGGTGCTCAAACTTTTGCGATGAATTTGACTTTGAGGACATTTAGTATATTATTATTAGTATTAGAGGAATACAGATATCAGAAGTAAATATTTAGATAAAGGTATCTTTTTTCTACTTTAGACGTCCGTATTGTTCTTGAACAGTTTATTTGATACATATTTATAGCTTATACATCAAAATTACATAGGCTATAAATTTTGATGCGGGTGAACCGCGGGCACAGTTAGTAGTTTATATAGGGAATGAGCGCAGAATGCCAACTTTTTTTTTACTATATTATGCAACAATACATTAAAAAATAAAAAACATATTACACTCTCTACAACGTATTTGACACTCACACGCATAGTACGTACAGTATTTGAGAATAGAACCTTAATAATGTTTAAAATTATAATTTAAATTAATCATGATCGAATATCGACCATTAGGCAATCACTAATTTTCATTATTACGAGGTTTTTTTTAGAAAAACTTTACAGACACTTAAATAAATAACTGACAATCGTCAATAAAATAGGTTTTATATAACAACGAATATGGTAATTTCCCATAGGTATTATTATACTGTGTACACAGGTATTATAAGTATGTATACCAAACTATCGAAAAGTCTTGAGTTTGCATATTTTTTATTATGTAAAATTACGTAATGAATACGTAAATATCCTGTACATATCCATACTTATCTATCTCCATTTATACATAGACTTAGGAAACATCACGAGATCTTACCACGTTTTATTTATTTTATGGCCATATGTCATTTTCAATAGTAGCAACAAACGAAAACGTGTGAAGGTAGACAAATACCTGCCCATGAAACATTTATTTACCATCGCTGCTCTTCAGAATATCCATGACCATAAGAGTTGAAAAGCTGCCGAAATATCGAGATCTCAATAAAAATATATAAAATCTGATAAAATCCCACTATATTTTCTAAGTGTATAAATAATGACCGTGTCAAATTTAAAACAGTATATATATTACAAATTATCTCAATTCATAAATTTAATTATTGCAATGTAGACAGATTTATCTTAAAAAAAAACTTAGTAATGCTATGTAACATTATGTTATCTGTGGTAATGCACATACAGGATCATAATAATACATGGACCAAAATGATGTCGCCAAAGAGGAAGCGACAGATATTGTGTGAATCTCAATAAAGTGCGTAGATGTAATCGTTGAAAACAATTATAAAACACCAAATTGTAAATAAATTGTAATTAGATATATATACTTTTATTATAATTTCGCTATAATCAGCGGTGTAACAAATATTGAAGAACAGAAAACAAAAGGCACTCGTAATCATGAGAACGCAGGGTTCCACACTTGAATATTATGAAACAAATTATTGAAGAGGTTTTAATACTTATTTTTATTGGAGTTTCCAACAGATATTACTTTAGATAAAAAAAAATATCTTACTTCCGAACCTCTCGGGTTGAAATTCTCGTACGATGCAAACATTTGTATTCATGAGTAATGACTACTAATGACTTTTTGTAATGATTTGGGTGATTTTTTTTTGTATATTATGTATGTATTTCCAAAAAAATATATTTAACTGTAGTGTAGTACATGTAACATAAGCTCTTCTAAGATTGGGACTAGATGGAGCTGTGAATTGTCCACGGTTATTGTTATTATTATATACTATACATCTATACTAGTAACCAGCCCTGGTATCGCACGGGTTCTTATAATTTTATGTTTTTTTTTATTTATTAAGGGGGTATACATAACTGTTACCCACGGCGTCTTTTGCTTTCATTATAGCTATAGAAAGAAGCGAAGTTTTAAATTACCTACGCTACGGATTTTAATGCAGTTTTCAGTAATAGAGTGACAGGGGAGGGATTATATGTATAATACATACGTGTTTTAGTATAATACAAACCGATGCATTAAAAACAATCTTTATATTCCAAAATTATTCATCTAATTGCGAACAATTTGGTGAAATAATGCTTAATCAATAAATGAATACACCCCATAGAAGCGAACGAAATCGCGGGCAAAACCTTGTTTTAATAACATGAAATGATACTAACAAATACTTACTAGTTCAATTTAATAAAATTTCTATTTAATAAACATATATATATCTTCTATTATTTCATCTTTACATCTTCACACGGTAAATCGATCATGAGCTTTGAAAATGAGAAATTTACGAAAACCCAGAACATTGCACTTATCATTAGATTGAAACAGATAAGGTTCGCCGGTTGCTCGGTTACACCCGGAATATTATGGATAAGATCACATAACTTCGACACAATCCCGAGTGTTGAATAAATTTTATTATTTTTTTTTAAATCGACTAACCTGACTTAAAATTCGATAAATATCAACCTACAAATAAATAGATAGGTCACATTCCGTAAAAATTGCGATAATTCAGATGTCCCTTGCCCCGAAATCGACGGCGCATGCCTAAGACCCATTCAGGAACATCATTAGAAAGAGAGATAACATATAAGTGTGACAAAGACGGGGCCAGGGATTCCAAAATTTAGGGAAAAACCATTACGACTAGCAATCGTGTCACTTAATTACACATTAATTCATTTCTCAATAGATAACCGCCGCGTTCCATTTTTGAAATACCAACGCATCGCACTTGACACTAATTTAAAATTAGAATTCTAAATATTTTCTGAACACTGCTCCACACTTCACAAGATATAGGATAAAACTGGCATGCTAACTAAACTAGGACCGGCCACTAACTGCATTAGGTTTGGATTTTAGGTCATAGAACTATATTAGACTATTTTACTATATTGATGGAAGTCATGCCTTTTATACTTACACACACTTGCCGACAACGCTGTAGTCACAATATAACACGTATAACAACCACTGAACAAAAAAAATCATTTGATAATGTACTAAAACTCTGTAAATTAATATTACAATATAATTTTCACACTAGATCGGCGCTTAACAGGTTATAATTTAGTGCTAAAGTGTAATTAGGTCGCGGTGGTGTGCGGAACCGTTCTATTACTGTAACGTGACAATTTAACTAGTTGTTTGTTGCTTTTGTAATGTTATAACAAGTGTAATGGAAAAAAAATCAATTGCAAACGCGTTAGTCGTCGGCCATTTTACTATCTGGCTAGCTGGGTTAGCAGGGAGGTCGACTGCGCGCATGCGTAGGGCAGTCGCCGCCGCCCAAATGTCTGGCATAGGCAATACCACTTGCGTTTTTAAAATCAACTTACCAAATCAAATATTATAATTTTTAATTTGTTATAATATTTCATTAAAAGTATAATTATATATTTAAGAGTTTTTGTTTGATTAGTTAGTTTAATAAAATGTTTCCCACTCTATGGATATGTTGTTGAACTATGAATAGGGCGCTTATTGTAAGTGACATTGACTATGAATGACACTTTTTTATTAGTATCAAACTGTTCACAACTCTATTGCTCTCGTAATGTCGTTCAATTTGCATTGACTTATGAACTTTAAACTTTTTCTGAAAATCATGACGTCACATGTCGTTATTCTAATTACTTAAACATTTTTTGCTTACTACACCAACCTTAGTACATTGACGTGATTCTCCACCTTACATGATGTTATGTTATTTTTAAGATAACATATCTAAGTAAGGGTTATTTTTTAATTTGGGTAACTTTCTTATTTATTATTAACAATGAATTATAAACCTGAAACTTATGAATATTATATATACCTGTATTTTTACATGATAATCTTAGAAACTTAACAAACTTTAATGAAAATTTCACTGACTTACAATCAACGCCATCTGTTTCCAAAGTAAACTGAGCTTGTTTTATGGGTATTAGACAACAGATATAAATAATTAGTTATATACACCCAGACCGTATCAAAAAATCATTATAAAATGTTTGCACCTACCGAGGAATCGAACCCGCGACCATCGGAAATAAAGCAGTGTGCTAAAACGTTAGATCACCCAGGCCGTCATATAGTTATCAGCATAACAAGATATTTACGTTTTTGCTAGTTTCGTTGCAATCGGCTCACAAATAAAAAAGTTAAGGCAAAATAAACATTGTCTGTTTATTATACAGGCCTTACATACAAAGGAAGCGAATAATAATAGAAAAAGAATGACTGAATAAATAATATTAGTATCTATTATTAATAATAATATTAGTGTTAATAATAGACCATCATTCTTTAAAAAGATAGTTGCTAAGAAGACTGATGGTCTAGTGGCAAATATTATATATGTATTATATTATAACACTTTATTGCACCAACATGTAAAGGACATGAACAAAATTAAAAACATAAAAAAAATAAAACTAAGTACAAAAGACGGTCTTATCGCTAATGGAATCTCTATGTATATTATAGATTTAGTATTATACACTTTAAGAATTCTATTAATGGGTGAACGACTACCAGTGTTTGTACGACATCTGTTAATAGTGAACATTCCTGACTTCTTGATGTTCTTTTTTGTACACGCGGTGGAACACGTTAACTTATCTGATATGTCAAAGAAGTGCAATCATATTTATTTTAGACTACATATATAAAAACACTCTCAGTTAGTGTGCGTCGCGATGTTAGATTTAATCATTCAAATGTCTGCAAAAGTTTGTCATATGAAAGGTGGCTATGGTAAAATTTAGACTGTAATCGGCGTAATTTTGATATGAATATATATTGTAAAAAGGATTCCAAAAATTACGGCCAAACGTTTTGTATAAAAGTAAATTAGTTGTTAGGACTTTTAAATTCTCACTAATACATTTTATATGCTTTATTGATTATATTATCTAAATCTATATGTATATCAAGCACGTGTCTAGTGACTAAAGTAATACGTAAGTCTTTAATTGTTTCCACATTATTGAGGATACACATACGTACACAATGTGTACGAGAACTTGCTTATATGTTGTATTCTGGAAAAAGTGACACACTAAGTGTTAGCTTATTATTTATATTATTGATAGCCGTGGTGGTCTATCGGTTTATAACACCGCATTACTTCCGATGGTAGCGGGTTCGATTCCTCTCTTTATACGATCATTTATATTCATGAGTATGAATATTTGTATCGGTCTGGGTGTTTTTTATATATTATATGAGGCAGTAGCAACTTACCATCAGGTGGCTGGTAATAAACTTGTCATTCCAAGTCACATAAATGATCCCGACCACCCCTTCGACCGTCCAGTCATATTTATCATATTTTGTTATGTATTAGTCATGCTTTGTAACAAACATAACTCCAACTTCCCAATGTGACTAATCAATAAAATACACATTGTGTCAATATTAGCAATAAATTCAAAAATGATTCTATTACTTCAGGAAAAGCTTATTATTTATCCTGTTATATAAATATATGCTGATTGTCTATATTATGTGAACCATTATTTCATGAACTACACGGGACTTTATGGCACATACAATACCAAAAAAGTTTAGAGAGTGTTTGGCCAAGAACGCTGTGGTATACTAATTATAAAAAAAATCCGTCAACAATTTTTTTATTAAATTAACTCTAAGGCCTACATCCCATTCCTGCTACTTTGAATTGAAATACATGAGATTGATTGATGAGCGACCAAAGAATGCCCTGCATCTTTTCTTTATGCTATCTTCTTTTTTCTAAAGTTCATGCTGAATTGCTTTGTTTTACAATAGGCATGACCTTTCAAGGTTCACTCACCTTATGATATACATTCGTAAATCCCGAAGAAACATTAAAACTGTGTTAAAATTTCTTCGCGGAGAGAAAAGAAACTTTCAAATGGTGTACGTTACGCGATATTATTTCTATTCTACTAATAGTACCTAATTATGAGAACGAAAGGTTATTAAACCCTCTTGGACATTATTTTGTTATGGATAACTTAAAGCTGGTCCCTTACAAGTGATTGCCAAAAGAAAGATTCTAACAAATCAAGTAAACTACTTTGAATGATATGCGATGAATTCCCTAATTAAGGAATATCTACTAGGTTCTTTTGGTAGTAGCTATTAGAACATTATACTAAGTATACCTACCTCGAAACAAATTTCAATAGCCTCAGTGGTCTGGCTGTTTCGCAGACTGCCTTACCTCCATTGGCAGCGGGTTCGATTTCTCACACGTACAAACATTTTTATTCACAAATAATATTAATAAATATAAACATTTGTATTGTATAGTGAATGGGTTCCCCATTACCATTGTAATGAATGCAATTGAACGTACGAACGAAATGATGTGGTAAGTGATATGGGAAATCACAAAATACACAACGCATTGTCACCATAACTCGTGATGCTTTGTATTTTATTGTGTGCCTGATCCGCATAATGAACGCAAGGCAAATGATTTTAAATAATTTCTATAATGGCTAAATTGTTCATAGTGCTTCTTTTTCTGTGTTACCTAATTGCAACATGTTGTAAGTTATTTATTTTAATTTAGTTATGTTAAAACCAGCAAGAAACTAGATATGAAAGGTCAAATAAATTTCATGTCAGTTTGTCACCATTTTTGCAACCATTTCAAATATTTTTTCGTTCGTTTTTGTTCTTTCTATCAAATGAAAAAAATAAGTTGAAAAGAAACAAAAATAAACTGTGATATTATAATAGTAAATTAGTTTCACAGAGGGTTGATATTTTTATTAATAAAGTGATAGTTGAGTTAATTAATAAGAGCAGAGCGCTCGCCTCCCATAAATGTTCAATTGTTATAAAAAGTACTTTTAAATAAAAAATGGGTGGACCCATTGCTAGCAATGTACCATGTTAAGTCGAACTTTACTGATGGTGTCTTCACCATCAGTAAATTTACTATTGTGATACACTACAGATAGTGCGATTTCACAATATTCTTTCTGCCGTCCTTTCTTACTAATGAATTGTGTCCTTAGTTGCATAGTAGCTGTGTACATATATATTTCTATATTATTGTATATTTATTCTATGTCTAATTAATTTATATATTAAGTATCTATAATGTATATGTTTATAGTATGTGTATGTATTTATATAAAATACATACACATTTTATAAACATTACTATTAATATTATTGTTTATGTTTCTGTCATTCCATCATCCGTCATTCACCACCTTCTGTCCTTTCTTCTCTACTCAAAGGTTGTCTGGAACAGATCGCTTAAGCGATAAGACCGCCTTTTGTACCCATACACTCCAAATATTGTTTTTTTTTTATTGTTAATGTGCAATAAAGAATAATAAATTTAAAACAATAGTTATTGGTGATTTCAACACGATGAGCCATCTGACCTGACGTCACCCTCATCCACTGCCTCCTGTCGGCGTACACCGTTGGCACAGCAGGTGCTGCATGCCATTTGCGTCTAAAAAACAATAGATTTCTTTTTAATTCTATTTTTTGCGTAATATCTACATTAATTGTCGACGTAATTTTTAATACTTTGCTGTTTTATCGGCAGTGACATTACAGTAGACACAGCATCTTCGTTCTTAGCCAATTCAGAACTGATTGCTATGGGCGTCAGTTGCCTACATTCGAACTTTAAAATAATCGAGAACCAATATTTTTATTCACTAAACCGACAAGATGGGAAGGGCATTGTTAGTAATTTGGACTGTTGACCACATTGCACCATGAAACCGTCATAATAAATTTCAGGTGAATCTTCCCCAATAGGCTACCTAACCTAACCACAAGTTCATCACCTCCCCCCCCCCCCCCCCATAAACGTTAGCGGTTATGAATGCACCATTATAATACATATTAAAAAAACAGACACCACCATAACTAAAAATCACCAATAAGAAATCATTCTAGTGATTGGGTGGTACAAGGTAGCGGTTGTTCGAGATGGTTTCAGCATAAAAAATGAGGTACCGAGGAATGTAGATAATTTAATTGCTGTTAAATACATACCGAACTTCTATACGAGTATATACATAGACTTAATAATTAAGAATGGATCCACTAGTCCCCGTTACTAATAATCCCCTTCCCCTTAGTTATATATACTATTTAATTCATAGTTCCAGAATCGAAATCACCTTATAAGGAAACCAAAATAACATTAATGTTGAATGGTAAAAAAGAAACATGTGAAAACGAACATTGTCTGTCTGTGATGGAAGGTGACACAATAATAATAGATATAAAGAGCCTAAGTTTCATTAACAAAGCCTGGTGAGTTTTAATCTATACATATAAATAAAATTGGAGTGTCTGTTTGTAATATTGAAATAACCGTTTTTTACTGCATGCGTATGAATATAAATACGGAACATACACCAAAAAACCACTTTTTAAAATTTTTGTCTGTCTGTCTGTCGTTCTGTTTGTCCGGAACAAACAGAACGACTAATCTCTGAAACGACTGAACCGATTTTAACGGGACTTTTTTTGGCAGGTAGCTAATGTAATAAGTAGTAACTTAGGCTACTTTTATTTTAGAAACATTTTATTTTAGAAAAATAAAGTATAATTCCACGCGGACGAAGTCGCGGGTGCAGCTAGTATAATAATAAACCTGAACAATTCACAAAGCGATATCCAGCCCCCAAATAAAATCCAATCAAATATAATTTATTCATGTTGGAAACTTTAGCCGCTTATGAAAGTCCAGTTCAGTATATAGATACAATTGAGAAGAAGTGGCAAGAAACTCAACTAAATATTTTTCAAGCCAGTATATTTAAATTATATAGATACTTTTGTAGGTGTCTATGTCTAATAATGTCCAAGCTAAGCAAAACTTGTGTTATGCGTCCTGGACAACTGTGTTTGTAGCACCTGTAGCACTGCGACCTACATAGATATATTGTGCTCGCCCTTTTTTAGAGTACGCTACCTAAACCCGTCAGGGACAAGATTTGAAGGATATTCTTAGGAGCGATGATTTTTATCTCCTCGTGAAAGAGTGTAAACTTTCCAAAGGAGATATTTCGTTTATGCGTGAGTGGGCTACAATTACATAGGTTGTGTAGTGGTGTTTCCTCTTCAGTTTGGCAGAATCTGCAGATTGTTGTCGTGCACAGGGCTAGTTTTGCCATATGCTTGTTTAATTTGCAGTGTCCTGTGACGGCCCTAGTCATCATGCATATGTTGTTTTTACTCAATTGCAGTAGTCTATTGGAGTATTTGTTCGAGCAGCCCGATATTAGGACTTTTGAATGTACCAATACTGGCACACCCAAACGGATACAAACAATCGTAGATACTCATGAATACACACGCATCGTGCGAGGAATCGAACCCGCGATCTTGGAATGTAAAGCGGTGTACAAAACCGATTGAGTATCGAGATCGTCAATGTTGTTCACAACTTTATTTTAATCGAAATACAATTGTAATTTTAACATAATTCTAGCCATTCTTCATTCACAATCACTTACTATAAATACATATATCGTAGTGTTTAGAAAGACATTAGTGTAAGTAACAGCGTCGTGAATTAGTATTTTATTAACAAGTGGTAGTGACTTCAAACATGGCCCAATCTAAAAATAAACTTTGTGTATCTTTTTATATTTCTAACTGGAACTTTTGGATGAAGAAAACATTGATAGAAAACCTAAAGTTAATTCCCAACGAATAATGGTTATGTCAAGTGTACCGTTCACCACGCCCTCGTCGTTAGATGGTAATACTCTGACTACTCAATTTGGAATTACAGTCGTGAAGTTCTATTACATGTTACATTAGATATAATGAATTTTTCCTTCATTTACTTATTACAATAAAACAAAAATTTAATCATCTAAACACTAATTTTGATTAAACTAACGGAGGACTTTAATATTGTCCAAATTTAATGATATACATATGTAGATAAATACTATTTGTTTCAGGTGTGAAATAGGAAATATGAAATACGATATTACAAACAATCTGAATAATGACTATAGAAGAACAGCCAATGTAATGTTTATTTTATTTATATCAAACTATTATTATGAAATACATATGCTCACATAAATCTCGTAACCCTACACTTACACGTACACACTCAGTATTCTTAGATTATTCTTTTTAGCAATTTATCCTTATATTGTACAAATTAATTATATAAAGACCATTATTTTACTCTCTTATTGAAATTATAATGTATGGTAATGAACAATCCGACATACAACATACAAACACAGTTTCTTGATGGCAACTCACCTGGAATTCGACTGTGTTGTGGGCTAGTCTTGGACGGCAGTAGTTATTTAACATCACATGTGCCAAGCTCGTATGTCTTGTATGTAATAAAAAAAACAACTATATTGCACATATAGTAATTATAATCAGTTCGAACAAGACGAAAATAGTATAGAACGAAAGGAGAGTAACGTTTATCAAATGCAGAAGTAATTCCAAGAACAGTCGAAAATATCGCTTCACATTCACACACCATCATTGACATGAAAGCTATCTAGTTTTTAAAGTCGTAAAGAAAAAAATATATTATAAATATAATAAAACAATTTCTAATATACAACAAATCTTACTAATAATTTAAACGCGAAAGTTTGCGAGTCTGGATGGATGTTTGTTACTCTTTCACGCAAAAACTACTGAACGGATTTTGCTGAAACTTTACAGTAATATAGCTTATACATCAGAATAACACACAGGTTACAAATATCATGCGGATGAAACCGCGGGCAACAGCTTGTCCTAAATACAAGTATTTGTACAATACGATCTAACAACGAACTTCAACGAATGGAGACTCAAGATGCTTCTGTATTATTGGTGTGTGTGGTTATCTCCAGCTCTAGAGTACATTCGACAGTTCACTCTCGCTTTGACATACAATTGATTTTAACGATTTAAAAAAGTTTATTTTTATCAGATAATCTTAATTTCTTTCAGATAACAGCCAGTTTACAAATGTCTCAAAAATGGTGGAATATTACGTTGTTAACCAACGAGAATACAAGTACGGGCAATATCCGGGATATTGTCCGTATTTGTAATTCAAGTTACTTACCTTCGAGGCTTAAATGCAATGTTACAGGTCGGTATGAATAAGAATTACCTATTTCATACATTAATATTCTATTTAACCTGGACATTATAAGGTTCAGTCCACACGGCCGGTAGTGTTCGTTTGGCACATTTACAAAGAGGGTGTCTGGTAGCCCCGTGTTATAATATCATATCAATCACCAACTTCATTACATATAGTAGTATAATAAAATCATAATGCAGCAAAAACTCTCTGTCCGTGTGTTAACGTTTCACATGAAAACGGCTGGAGCAATTAAGATGCAATTTCCAGAGAATAAATTGTTGCGGAAAAGGACATTCTACTCCGACCTCAAACAACGGAGTAAAACAAGACAAGGCAATGATGCTGGGGCTATACATATAGCCCCATCATGTAAAAATATATATAGAGTAAAAAAATCTTAGAAAAAACCCCCAAAAGAGTATATTAGCCTAATTATTAATTATTTTTTCCTAATCCTTACTAGTATTATAAATGCGAAAATCACTCTGTTTATCTGTCGCGCTTTCGCGCCAAAACTACTAAACCAATTTAAAAGACATTTGGTACACAGATAGTCTTATGATACCTAGAGAAAGGACACATTACTACTTGCTACTTTTTACGTAGATCAGGGTTGTAAGGGGTTGAAAGGGGATGAAAGGTTGTAAGGAAGTATCCTCATTTTTAAAGGTTGAAGCTTGAAACTCATTTCTTAGGCTGTTGATTAAATATAAATAAAAATGACATTCAAAGTGTGTAAAAAATATACCCTTAAAGGGGTAAAATAAAATTGTACTCAAGATAATCACTACTCCACGCGGACGACGTCGCGGGCACATCTAGTTAATTATAAATACGCTATCTTAGTTAATCTATAAAATGATACATTGCGTTGTATATAAGTTTTATTGTTGTGTTATAACAGATAGTGTCTGCAAACGTACACGCAGACAAAAACGCGGGCACCACTTGTATATACAGTACCACCATTTAAAGGAATTTTTTTTTTTTTCAGTTAATAGAGCACCTTCTGTAAAAGGTAAGAATACTATAAAACCGTTAATCAAGTGTCACAGGAGTTTTCATTTGCTGGCTGGTCTTCTTTGTATATATAATCTTACTAGCTGTTCGCCCCGGCTTCGCACGGGTGTACATGTAGTATATATATAAACATTCCTCTTGAATCACTCTATCTAATAAAAAACCGGTTCAAAATCCATTTTGTAGCTTTAAGCATACATAGGCACGGACAGACAACGACAGCGTTTTTGTTTTATACTATGTAATGATAATTATTACAATGCGAAAGTTTGTGAGTATGGATGGATGTTCGTTACTCTGTCGCGAAAAAGTACTGAACAGATTGTGATGAAACTGCAGAATAATATAGCTTAACATCTGATTAATACGTAGGCTACAAATTTCATGCGAGTGAAACAGTAAGCAGTTAGTAATAATAATAAACCAAGGCAATTAATACAACGCCATGTAGTTCCCAGCTATGCAACGCTTGTGTCATGGGTAAAATAACATTTATATTTAAATCAGCTTACGTATTATGTACTATATTTGTGGGTGTTTTTTTTAAATAATCTACCTTACTACCTTACCTTATTCTTACCTACCTTAAATCAAAGTAAAATTTTTATTTGACGAAGGATGTAGGTACTACTTGTTGCTAAAATATAATTAGAACACCGTAAAATAGGCAATAAATTTTGATATGGGGAAAACAATCATGTTTCATGTAACGCACATTTATATAATAAATAATAATAATAATACCTCAGGACAATTCGCACTACGACATCTATAAACATGACATCTGTAAACAAAGCTTCTGTCGTGGGTACTAAACGACTGACATAAAATGCATGAATACATTTTTTTTGGGAATACATACATAGAAAACACCCAGACCAATACAAATAATCATACTCATAAATACAAATGTTTGTACTATGCGAAGAATCGTAAGCATCAGCCAGTTATTGTTATAACTCTACCATTGAAATATACTGTTATATTAAAATTACGCTCTTATCATGAATTATTCTTAAACTCAACCAAGAATATATATTACCTAATATTATTATATTATCTGTGATAAGACTATAATAATTCTTCCAAAGATTTACAACCACCCAGAACCTGACTATTTACTGTGAAATGTAAAAAAACATTTTTAATAAATAAAAAATGTTTCAGCTAACTGGATATACGTTGCAACTGGATTCGGAGTCGCATTATTATTTATAGTTGCGGAAGCTGTTGCTATCATATACTATAAAAAGAAAGGTTTGTAAGCCCAATTAGTCCTACTATTTTTTAAAGGGGACATACATGGTACATACCTACACCAACAGATTATACAAATATAAAACCAATTGACTTTGTTCAAAATCAAAATATCTTTATTCATGTAGGTCTATTCGAAATCTTATAATATAGCAAAACTACCGTCAGTTCGAAATACTTTCGACATGAGAAGAACTGATATATGCTGGTGAAGTAACAATGCTGGAACCACATCAAAAACATCCAAGTTCGAGGCAGTTTAAAGGTAACATACTGGAGAAGATTTTGGAGAGCCGCCTAAGGTGGTACGGTCATGTCATTCGGCGACCATCAGACCACATGATTAGAACAGTAGTTGACATAAGTACCCAGCCCAGAAGACGCGGCAGACCCCGTCTCACATGAATGTCTGTTATTGAGAGGGGTTTAAAAAGCGCCAAAATAACGTCCCAGACCACCGGATAGAACGTCCTGGCGAAGCCTGACCAGACCATAAATGCGTAAAAGGGCTGCATCACTGATGTCTAGAATTTGGGGGAGTACACACCGCATCCTAACAACTGTTGCGAGTATACCTGATTGTCCGCTCCAGAGGCACCGGATATCGTTGCATTGTGGACCCAGTGCTTCTGGACGTGGACACAGATATATGAATTAAATGTATCTCTGTATCTCTATATTATAAGTTACTAACATAGTTTTATAAGTTTTTACTAACACAATATGGATGTAATCCGAATTAAAATAAATGATAATAATAAATGGGGCCAAGGCCAGGCAAAAGAAGAAAGATTTTGCTTTATCAAAGCATACAGCGCAAATTCTTTTTTGCCCTATTAAAATTTGAACAGTTATTTATTTTCTATTTAATAAATAGAAAAGCAGTCTTAGTGGCGTATTTTAACATCATAGTAGCCTATTATGCCCATGTAACATCAATTCTTCGATTTGGGATAAATTATGCCTAATCAATTGGGGTAACTCAACGTCTAGAGAAAACATATTCAGAAGTCAAAAGAAATGTCTGAGAGCGATGTTAGATCTAAAAGTGCGTCTGTGTCAGAGTTGTTTCACATCCGTCCGTCCTGACACCGTTCAATTGTATTTCCATTGTATGACATATTCTGTGCCAATGATATAAATCACAACATCAATATAGTATTTTTGATAATTTCAGGATCATCATCAGTGAGCAGGTTAGAAAGAGTACCTTCGAAAGAAGACACCACTAAAGCTAACAGTAGAGGTAAACTCATTAAAAGACTATAAAAAATTAAGCTTACACATGTCTGGATATATCTCTATATATGTATATATATATATACATATATATCTGCATGTAACTAGTCAGGAATTTAACACGATAGATATTATATATATAATAATAATAATAATAATAATAATATTTATAATAATAATATCTCAGAACATTTCACACAACAGTATCAGCTAAAAAGACCCAGAAGCGCAGAAGCCCTGGTTTCTGCGCTTCTGGGAGGAGCTTGGCTGACTGTAGTAGTCTCAGTTCTACACGTACAACGGCCCAAACAACAGGCTTAATGCCGAAAATAGAATTCAACATACAATATATATAATATAATATATATCTAATAATAATAATACTACCATATAACACTTCCTTACAATCGTGTTATGCATGAAATAATAAATTCTACTAATATCTTCTATAAATAGTTTGTGAGGATATGTATGATATATTTATAACTTTTTCCGACAAAAATTACTAAACGAGTTTCAATTAATTAAGGTCGTATTATATGAAGGGATATGATTGACTGATCATTTCATCTTGATGTCGCATCAGAATTTTCATTGCGATACTCATTCAAGCCGGATGTCGGAGACAGAACAGAAAACAAAGTTTTTCATTCATGAAGTATAGTATTAAGTCATAACTCTTATTGTAATAATCTACATAGAAAATATAACTTTTTAGCTCGCTACATAATTTCACCGGGCCTTATGGGATTGCTTACGAGGAAGGATAAGAAAGAACGAAATAAGGATGTCGACGATGACACAGGAAGCTTGTACGAAACGTTGGAAGCCGTTGCTTTAGGTACGTGCTAATATTTTTTTTTATTATATTTTATTGAGTTGGTGTTATTTTACTGAAGTACTATTAATCGATTGTATGATATCATTTTGTTTAATTCTGCTACAATTTTGGCTTGTACTAGAACTCCGCAAATATTTCGCTCTATAGGTCTTTCACTAAAATCCATAAAGTCTTGCTAAAAAACAGGAACACATATTTGTAGGAAATATTACTTAAATACTGCCTATTTCACTGACCCTAAATAAAGTAGATGAAGAAGTAGCACTTACATATAAGTCTAGCCTTACTTCTCTAACTAGAGTTACTAACGACGATATAAAAGACCAAAGTTAATTGTACTAATACTAAATGTTACGACCTTCTCTGTAACTAATCAATTTCCAACTGTTATTGAGTCTACAGTCAACACACATATTGCCATATGTTTCTCGTTTAAACGAGGCATCATCAGGCAATCAATAGATTTTCGATATAGTTTGAAGCCTAGTATTGACTGATCAACGGACACGAGGACCTACTACGAAATTTATAGCCCTATAATTCATATATATACTATGATACTTGGATATTTCCACAAAGGTTCCATGGGGTATTTTTTATCATTCAAGAACAAGGAGACAAGGAGGTATTGTAAATATGAAACCGCTTCTCAAAGGTCTTTACCAAGGTAATCTATGTACAAAGACCTCTGGAAGATGTGTTTCGGTTCAAGGCGGCAGTGAAATTACAGGGTATGGAAACATCTTAGTCCTTAGGAATGGCATTCCACGAGTACCTCGTACCTCGGACGTGACATGGCTGTTATTGTAAGCGACGTTTACTACTACTTGCCGGGGGAAGATGGCCAAACTGACCTGACTTCAGCTCATTTTTGAGACATTGGAGGATGATAATCCTCCACTGATGCCCCGCGCCAGCGTAAACCGTTTGCGTTGGCGGTTGCATCATTCCATTACCATCCATAAAAAAGAAGGTGTGCCATTCCAGTTGCAGATATATTACTTTACTGATATATAAAACTGAAGACTTGTAAAATTATTAAATAAAACAACCTAGAAAAACATTTCTGCAATTTTTTTCGGACTACCCTAATACTGTTGGCCGCAGATGCCCTTTACAGCTTCATTGGAAGATATTTTAGGGGCGAGTACAGGTGGCACTGCAAACCCGCAGGAGACTTATGGAGCGGCTGAAGGTCTACTCCCGATTGACGAATACAACTTTAGTCTGAGGGCACCGCTAGGGGTTCGATCCTCACCTCAGGCTGTCGTAATTTCGATTCCCGTTTGAATTAGACGGGGGATCGATTAGAGGGAAGGCTTATTGTCTAATAATGTCTAATTTTGTTTCCATACATAGGAGCCAGTGACGCCCCGGCGCCTCCTCCAATAACTACATTACCAAGTAAGTGCATAAGTCATTTTATTTTTAAACGTCTTCAAAGAATTTGACAGATAGTAAGTAACCAGAAAAAAAGTCTTTGTTTTTAATTTTCGACTGATCCCATACAAACAGGGCCGAGTCGCGCATACGGCTTCTATAGAATGTAAAATTCTGTTACACAACAACATTGAATATTGGTACAAGTCTCTAAAGAGAACATTCACGTCTTTGGTTAAATTTTATACTATTGAACGAACGTAACAACAATGGTATAATCATTATATAGTATAAAACAAAGTCGCTGTCGCTGTCTGTCCCTTAATAGTTTTAAATGCAACAGATTTAAAAGCGGTTTTTTTAATAGATAGTGTGATTCTAGAGGAAGGTTTGTATGTATAATACATGTAACCCCATTAAAAGCCAGGCTGGGTAGCTAGTATCTAATAAAAAAATCTGTATCTCGATATCATATGTGGTAGAATTTAAAAAATGGTCCGTAATTGTAAGTATATACCTGTATATATTTACAATTTTTAAAATATAGCTATATATGCTATATATAATAGCTAGTATATATACAAGCTGTCTATGCAAACGTTGTTTTGTCATATGTATAAATTAATATTGTTTTTAAAATATAGAGGTTGATGGTAGACGGGTGATGTTTTAATGGCTTATCACAAAAAAAGTTGGTTAATAAAATATAGAATACAATTATTTTTTTTTAACAGTTGTTGGCGGTGTCCAATTTTTTTTAATAGCACGTTAAAAAGAAAGAAATCTACCTCCCATGCTAGTAAAAAACTGTCGTTGTTCCAACAAGGTTCTCTCCGTTACCAGTTACTATTACATTTTAATATAGGCTCTATTGCATCTACTTATAGATTAATTTTAAATTATCTATTTTTTTTCATACAAAAAAAATATGGTAAACTAGATATGAATTATGCAAACTTACAGAATTATTAACTAATCACTTAATTGAATTTAAAAATAAATCTATTGAAATAATTCAATGAATTTACTCAGACTCTGCTCGTAAATTTCTGGGAGTGCCCAGTTCTATTGAGGCAGAAACCGAAAAGAAATCACCAACGAAGAAAAATTCAAAAGAAGGTATGAACAGTTTTTATTACTAATATAGCGACTAAAGAGTTATGGTCTACTAGTTTATATATCCCAAAGCAATCAAATACCAGTCGAATATAGCCGACATTAAAAAATGATATACATGAATTGTCAATCCAATCTGTCCAGTGCTGAAAACTGATAACAAAGTAATTTTAAGTTTGTCTCCTGCCAAGTTAGGTTGAAATTATAGTTGAAAAATGCAGGCATGTCGGACGTTATATTGGCTTTTACAATGACAATTGACTACCTCATTTAATAGTTAATATACCTTTTACTAACTAGTAAGTATTGTGTTACTACTTACTAAAATATAATTTTTGAAACTTATTTTCATTTTATATTTTTTTAATCATTTGTGAGAATTTATTAATCTTGTGATACATTTTTTATCTTTCGTCATAATTATTTCGACTGCATTTATTTCGACATGTTAGCTTTCCAATGGACCGCGTGTAGGTCGACATTGACATTGTACATTGCTTGCACTACTAGTCACCATAATGTCCTATCAATATGTTCTAGAATTCTAGAATAATATTTAACTATTTTTATTCTTGACTGTTTGAAATATTTGAGAAAGTCTCAGCGACATGCTAAGAGAATGATTCAATGTTGGATGACACATAACACAAGAGTCATCGTCCGTAATTAAGTATATTGGCAATATACTTATCAATCGATAAATTTCTAATATCTTTGTACTAATAATAATGTTTTAGAATCCATACTTCCGTATTAATATTATGAATAAGAAAGCTCTACTATGTAATCTTAATCACTGAAAGTAATATTTTTTAATGAAACGAAATTAAATTATTTTTTTCAATATTTCAATTCAATATATTGGCACAGTAGGTAACATACAAATATTATTGTTCGGCAATAATTATAAGAAAGCATTCATTTTTGTCAAATATTCTTGTAAAAAATATTTAAATTATTACGGAATAGCCAAGTTGCTTTCAGCTACAATATGAGATCTCAGTTCCCTATCAATATCCTTTAGAAAATTTATGTACACCTGGATGATATTAATTCTTATCGCTAATAATAATAATAATTATTATATAATCTTATGTATTAATATTGTTAAAAGATTTTTTTTTGCCGGACTACTCTAATGATTTTTGCCGCAACTGGCCTATACAGCTTCACCAGACAATAGGGGTGAGTGGCGATGGCACTCCAAACTCGCAGAAGTCCTTATGCAGCCGCAGAAGGTGAACCCCCGCCTAACTGATACGACTTTAGTCTGAGGGCAGGGTTTCGAACCTCGGTTCAAGCTGTAGTAATTTCATTCTTCGTTGAATTAGACGGGGGATCGATCAGAGGGGTATAAGCAATAAGAACAGAGTTTATTATATGGAAAGCACAATGGAAAATGAACTCCAGAACTACTGCACCGAATTTAGAAATTCTTTCACTGTTTCAAAGATATTCCAGAGTTACATAGGTTATTTTTTATGTAAAAAAACTCACAACGAGCCTTTCCCATCAGATAGGATGCATGCTTTATTTCCACCATTGTGATAAATAAGATCTAATACTTGCATTTTTCATACAGCTGACATCAAATCCCGGCCACCTCTGCCATTACCAAATCAAGAACAGAATAAAGGTAAACAATATCATCTAAATCTTAATATTCACGTCAGATTATGTTGAAATGGAGGAAAGGCTTATCTCCATCCTATGCATCGGAACTTTCAGATCGAACCTTTTTTTTTCATGATGTTTACAATTGTACACATGATAGGATGTTTATCATGATAGCGAGAACTAATAATTGTTATCCTATACATTAATATACATTTTATAGTCTGTATCTAAACAGGTACAAATCTGTTCGCTCGATCCTTGTATCCTTACATGCACAATTACAGGATTGTAAGAAAAATTTGTTTGTGTTGTGACTATACAAAAAATTAGTGTTTAAACATATAATTGATAAATTGTTTATCAGAGATTCAGCATTTAAGAGGCATAATATTCTAACAATAATATAATTGTAAATATCCTGTTTAAATAATGTGAACATAAATACTGCTCTCTGCATTTTAAATACATGGTGAACTTTGTAAGATGTTTATGAACTGAGATATCGCATAAAAACTAATCAAAACGACTACAGGAGTAGTAATGAAATTGTGATGAATAAACTCGTAAAATATTTAATGGATTTTATAAATTCATTCATTATAAATATAAAGCTACATTATCAGTCACTACTTAGAGATCAATTTACAATTACAATATAATTATTATAACAATATTATTTTTAAACAATCTTATGTTTATCAGATACACCCAGGAAGTTTTCTTTTATATCACCGATAAAGCAGAAATCTACGTTGTCAGAAAAATCAACAAATTCTAATCACGCTTCGCTTCCAACTTCGAAGTCTATTTCCGGGCAAGGTATATTCATATATTTTTTATTTGATTAGAATAGCAAAATAGATGATAAGTGCCAAACGTCGCGTAGGTACATTCCTGAACATCACGTTATCATGTGACGCAATTCTGGAGAACTGTGTCATGCTCCTTATCCTGTAAGTTCATTGCCCTATCTTACAATTCAAACGAAGAACAACTTACAAAGCTATTTGGCGGCTGATATATATGAGACTGAGGTAACTACGTAGACGACTTTTTACTATATATCTAACTAGGTTAATAATAATATGTAACAATAAATCACTTAAGTAAAACGAACAAAGAAAGGACATTATGTAAATCACATTTACCTCTGAGCTTCATGAGAATCTACACTGTAGCCAAAGAGATATAGCATAGCTGCTTCAAATACAAGGCATAGCTAGTAAATCATACCAATCATCTGACAATCCCCGACAATATACGTCGCCTTAGAAGGCATAGATTACTGGAACCCGCTGACCGATAACCATCTGAAGAGACGACGATTCCACTGGAAATGATATTCCACCCGCGACGCAACTTTTACCACATCTGCTCATAGTCTTCGACTGATTGCAAAGTAATAATGATAATAATACACCTGGACAATCCACACAGCGTCGTCTAGTCCCAAGATAAGCAGAGCTTGTGTTATAGGTGATAGACCACTGATAAAAATATTAAGACCTACTTTTTTATTATATACATAATATAGGTACATAGAACAACCATACTCATGATTGTTCTATGTACCTATGTATTGATTATAATATTATTCTAATTCCAGACGGCATTTCGCAAGAATTAAATGATATTCTCAAAACTAGAAGTGATAGCGTTGCAAGTAAGTTTCTTCTTGTTTTTTTTTTATATGGCAAATGACTCAAAGTAATCACTTTTCCAGACTTATATTCTTATTGTATCTGTACAACTGAACACGCTATATATACTTGGAAAAAATCCTCATGGAGATCCGCCTGTCCCAAGATTGGCAAACGGGTATCGTGAGTTTTTAGTGAGTAGGATACTCACAAAAATTCCCAAGGTGTCGCCAACCAACGCCATATGCTGGAGTTGCGGGATCGAATGGTAGTCCACTGCGCTCCGACGCCATACAACTTGACACCTAGCTTTTAGTTTGCATGTACTATTCTTTAACTAGTTGACTTCGGCCTTAAGCATAAACATGCCTACCTACCATACCATAGCAAATGGCGGATTTGCACCTTTATTTTTTGTGTTTGTGCATTAAAGTTTTAATAAATAAACGAAATAAATAAAATACCTACATTTCTTATTATTGTTTGCACATTTTAGTAATACTATGTAATATTATTTTATCTGTGGTAATACTGTTCCGATTTGAAAATTATTTTAGTGTTGTATAGCGATTATTGAGAAAGGCTATTTAACATTATAAAATGTAGCAAAATCGGGGATAATGTGACACAGACGAAGTTGCGCTCGTCAACTAGTTTTATATAAGTGCTCAGTTCTCTTAACAGAACTATGCAAATACCTACACCCATAACTACCCAAACCAAAGGATTATAATATCTTCTAATTAAATTTACAACTTTCTATTTATGCACCATAAAATTAAGATAATCACGGGATGTGACGACCACGTTTTATATATTATTGATGAGCTCCCGTTCGTCGATTTCCCGTTCTGGCAGCGTCAAATAAAAAATTCTAATTAGTGTGTGTTGTGCCAGGTAAAGCACAGCTGAAGTCCTCAGGGTCGACATCCAGACCACCAGTGAATCGAAAACCAATCATAACGAAGGCTAAACCAAACCCACCTGTGAAAAGCAAACCAAAACCGCCCGTGAAAAAACCAGGTACGTACTTATTTACGTTCTTAAAATGACAATCACTGGCAGAATATGCCAGGATTCCTGCACTCAAAAGCCCTAATAACAGCCTTATCGAATCAATACTCCAATAGACTATTGCATTTGAGTAAAAATAATATATGCATCATGAGTAGGGCCCTCATTAGACACTGCAAATTGAATAAATGCATGACAAAATCTATGTACAGATTTATGCTACGATAATATCTACTATTTTGAAATGGATTTGGACAGAGCACATGTTAAGATGCAAAATAAACAAATGAAGCAAACAGGTGACACTTTGGTGTTTCAATCTTAGGAAAATAGGTTTTATTGTTTAAGTCCAATAGTGGACATTATTATTATATATAGTTTGTACTGTTTGTTTTCCTAATCATTGGCTCTCAGTTAATGCCAGCATGACGTCAGCAGTGTGCGCTAGAGACGACATAATGCTTCCATCTCTTTCCGACATACACTGCATAGTTAATCGGCTCTTGACAATAATAATTATATGGTAAATAAAGGTTATCTATCCCGACGTTTCGACCTCATAGCTATAGCCGTGGTCACGAGCTGACTGGAGTAACAGCAATTTTTCGATTACAGTCGCTAGATTGTCCAATGAAATATAAAAAATAAAAAAACACACAGCACACAGTAGACTGAGTGAAAAATAAATACCTTCATCATTTAAAATAATATTATTAGTGTTCAGACCCAATTAAATATATTATAACTTGTAGCTCTTACCGGTGACTTCGTCTTCATGGAATTTTACTGTTATTTTATTAAAATAAATATAATAATAGTAAATCAATATTTATTTAAAAGAGCAACACACAAGTTTCTTGCTTATTCTTCTTGTGATGAATCTGCTTTCCGAATAAGCGGTAGAATAAAAAAAATTGACTATTCAAAAGTGCTTACATCAAGTTTATTTGAATAAAGATTATTTCTATTTCTATTTTCTAAATTGAAAGCAGCCTTAGTTACTCCTTATAAGATTAACTATCTATATCTTTATATAAATACCGTATATGTATACTTTGGTATGCAGTTAGTGAATTACTGTTTTTTGACATTGCAAACAGTCACTTCAATTTTATTTATAAAAAAATAAGTGTATCATTTCAGTTTGGTATGATATTGTCTACATCTAATTTATATTTTACAGATGTGGCACCAAAATCACTACCTTCGAAGACCCCAATGAAATTAATCAAGAATACAGAATCCCCTGCGCAGCCAGGACCGTCCCATGGGCAGTCAGTCCATCCTATTCAGTCCACGCTTCATGCTGGAAAACTTAAAACAACAGCGTCCCCCGCACCGATTAGAAAACCCCCATTACCAATCCCGATCGAATTAGAGAAAGTCCCACCCCCGGTGGAGGAGATAGAGGAGCCAGAGCAAGGTAGAGTATCATAATAATTATAACCCTGGACAATTCACACGACGCCATTCAGCTCAAAATATCTAGTACTCGTAATACAAAGCAGACTTTGTATTATGAGTACTAGATATTATTACTTAAATATATAAATATATATATATATATATAGATAAAACATCCAGATCAATACAAAGAATTATACTCATGAATACAAATTTATTCACCGTGCGAGGACCGAACCCGCGGCCATCAGAAGTAAAGCGGCATGCTAAAGCACTTGACCACTGTAGCCGTCAAATTAGTCATTTCTATTTTATTCACTTATTATTTATACAGTGATGTATTAATCTTTTCTTTTGCAGAAGTATATTCTCCATGGGACGAAGATTGGACTTATGAACCATTAGATTCATATAATATTTATTCTAATTTAGGATCTATGTGATTATTCATCTTCGGCTTGAGTGGACTGAGGGACCGAGAGATAGTCAAGGAGTCAAATGCAATAGGAATGTAACATTATTTATAAGAAGTATATTATTAATTAATTAAGTATACATTATTTAAAATATTAACCGGCTCTTAACACGAATAATTTTATGGCAAAAAAAAAGGTATTTCCCTCGCTATTAGCCACGAATGGTCCGGGAGACGATTGAAATTAAAAACATCCCAATTTCAACAGAGAGGAGGGCTTAAAATTATCTTCTACCTGGAATCCAGTCATAAATAAACTTAAGCAAAGTTCAGTAGCATCAACAATCGATAAGTGTATGGATACCGTTAGTGTTGTGTGTCGCAAACTTTCGTAGAACAATCTTGTGACGGTAGATGAAGATAAAGCTGTCACCTGTCTACAATGACATCGCTGTTGCTCCAGTCAGATCGTGACCGCGGCTTGTGCAACCTAATCGAAACGTCGGGAGAGGTACCTTTATTTGCCATAAAATTATTCGTGTTAAGACCCGGTTTATAATTTAAATAATGTATATTAACAACGAAAGTTTAAAAATAACTAATTAAGTATAATAATCTATTAAAGAAAGTCGATTTCTTTATTCAAGAATAACCGCTTTTTCCACATCCCTAATTTTTGGGTCCCTTAGTCTATGTTCTGTATAGATCGAAGATTGGATTTTATTATATATTAGATTAATATATTATTTATTTAAATTTAGAAACTATGCGTGTCTTCATAGTGTTTTTGCGATAAATAAACTTATCTCCATCCTTGCAAGGCAATCACTTCTTTCATTACATCCCTACAGTCGTGAAAAGGTAACAAAGACTCAGACACACTCGTATTTATAATATTGATATTATATTATAGTTTAAGAATGCTATCAATTATGTAACCCAAACTTATGTTTGTCGCTCGTTCAGTTCCTTACTTAAGGTTAGCAGATATAACGGTTCCTTTAGACATGTGACACAAAGAAATTGTAAAAATTAAAAGAAATTGATTAATTGAAGACTTAGGCGCTGGAACATTTTTTTTGTGGGTATTTAATTTAACTGAGCTAGGGATGCGAAATGATAATTGATTACGGAAAAATTCATTATTATTTAATAATAAATGGATTTTAATAATTATTAATTAGCGTCACTGCTATACAGATGTAACATTCATTATAAAACATCGATTATTCATTAGTCGATCGTTTTTTAGCAGATAATCAAATAAAAAAATCGATTATTAAAAATTAAGGATGTGGAAAAACCGATTAGTATTCAAATAATCAATTTTTCCATATCCCTATTTTTTTTTACTATTCACGTTATATTTTTAAGTCGGCACTTGGTTCTGTTCTATAGCAAATACTTGTTTACTTACGGAATAATAATTGTTAAGTTGTTAATCTACCTAATCTTATTAAAAAATTGAGTATTGTGTTACTATTATCATATTATATAGCCTATGTCACTTTGGAATAATGTACCTATCAGACAGTAAAATAATTTCTCAAATGGATGCAGTGGTACTTGAGTTCACTTCATAACAAAATCCGCTCTCTCTGTATAACTATAGATAGATTAATAAGAAAAGAATGTAGTTGTCAACAATCTGTGCATAATAAATGATATTTTACTCTAAGAATAGTAGTTTCATTCCAAAATATATAATGTCTATTTATTGAGGCGCCAAAACATAGAGAACCAAGCATTCTGAAGGTATTGGATATGTAGCAATCTAGCATAGTCTCTCATCTTCTGAAGGTAGTATGTTCAATACTGTATAATAATAAATGTTGGGCGTAAGAGAATTGTTAGTGAGGCGGACTAATAATCCCATTGCTAGCAATGTACCATGTTAGGTTGAACTCCACACGGTTCCACCTGGAAACCATCGTGGAATTAACCACGATAGGCTAACTGACCTGACCTCATCTTATCCTCCACAGGTGCCCAGCCAGCGTAAACCACTAGCGCGGGAGGACCATTCCATTAACATCGAATAAAAAAAAGTTTATATTGTTAATTGTATGTTCGTAATAGTAATCTATTTATTTATATATGAAATTTATAGCCTATGTATTATTCTGATTAATAAGCTATGTCATTGTAAAGTTTAATTAAAATCCATTGAGTAGTTTTGTGTGAAATCCATCTATCCATCCATACTCGCAAACTCAATGCGTTTATATATTATAAATGCATATATATTAGTAAGATTGTTGAAATTATATTAAATCTCTGTTTTTTTATTTATGATATTTACAAAAATTACTATAATTTACGTACTATATAATTAATAAGATGTTTCCATAGTTTGAGACTAGATGGCGCTGCGTTGATATCGTTGGCTATTTATATATTTATTTCATATCACCTTCAGTCAACTCTACTTTCTTAGTTTCCTTGATGATTTCATCTATTCTGTGTAAGTCCTTGAGGGAAACCTCGCCGGAGCCCCTCTCCAGTGGTTTTGGCTGCGATGGATCTGGTTTCCAGCCTAAGAAGTTTATTATTTGGAAGGTAGCCGGCACACCTCGGGAGTTTCTATTGGGAATATCCTGAAAATTATATGTAACTATTAATTTGCACCATGTGTAAGGTGAATATTATTACTTTACTAGTGACCCGTCGCGGCTTCGCACGGATTACATACTGAATACACGCATGTATTTTACATATAAACGGGAGTATACATATAATATTTTGATTAAAATCGGTCAAGCCTTTTTGAAGGAGTATTGTAACTAACACCGTGCACGAGAATTTTAGATATTAGATATATAATACTAGCGAGCACGGATGCATTAAAAATGTATCTATTTTTCTATACACGCATATAATTCAGGAGCAAGGATTTTATGAATAAATAAAAACTTCCTCTTGAACCACTCTATCTATTTCTGCATTAAAATCCGTTGCGTAATTTAAAAGATATAAACGAAGAAACAGCGGCAACAACTTTGTTTTAAACTATGTAAAGATTTTCATAGAAACTTTCATAGAAATTATAATACTTTTATTGAACATTCTGTGCGAACTAAAGCCACACACGTCGCATATGCAATGTGCTCGGAATAGAACCCGCGACCATCGGGAGGAAGGAAATTGTTAGTAATGTGGACTAATGATCCCATTGTCTGGTCGACCTCCACGCGGTTCCCCCTGGAAACCATGGTTATAAATTCCCGGAGAATTTGTCACGTTGGGCTAACTGATCTGACTTCATGCTCATCTTATCATCCTCCACTACTGTACCGCCAGCGTAAACCGTTAGCGTAGGCGGGTGCACCATTCCATTATCATCCACTAAAATAAAAGCCACGACCATCGGATATAAGGCGGAGTGTTGCCTACCCACCTTGCCGTACATCTCGTCGTATATGGCGGCGGCAGCGAACTGCACGTCACGGTTCAACCGTAATGGGCGTGTGTGCGCCGCGTTGGACTCCCCCATGGCACGCGCATCTGCCATCACGTGCCACGCGGTCGGATACCACACCGTCAGCACGTCCACGTCCACTGTTTGTAGCGTGAACCCCGCTCTAAAACAAGCATCAATGTATATTTTTCACACTTGCTGGCGGGTTTGGTAACAATAAAAATATTTGTTCAATTAAATAATAATAGGGAAAGTAGCGGTGAAAAATCCGTACCTTTTGGGTTATTTTAAAATTTTATATATTCTGTCTTAACGGTTAAACATTAAGAAAGAATAATAATAATAGAAAAAAGTTGGTCTCTCAAAAACATCATAAACACTCAAACCCTCAAAAACCTAAAAGCAATAGTCCATGGGTCCATATATATGACATGAATGATTTGGGACTAGATGTATTCACATAGCGCCATCTAGTCCCAAGCTAAGCATAGCTTGTGTTATGTACACCTACTAGACAACTAATACAAACAAATAGATACTCTTTTTTAATGTATACTCACGCCGTTAGTAAGCCACCTATGTCTCTTATCCTGGTGAAAGGCGATATGTGCGGTGCCATGCCTCCCAGTCGTTCGGTGTCGGCTAACTGCAACGCCTGTCGCAGCTCCATAAGCGTGTCTCCGCCGAATACCGTCGCCATGAACACCTAGGGAGGAGGGTATTTCGGGTTTCTTGAGATATGTTGGACTCCAATCGTTTGATTTCAATTTGATTTTTTTTTCTACTGTTAGACCTGGCGGTCCTGCCCCAGCTAATCGTCTCAGATCCGCGCGTCACAACAGGGCGTCACAGTATACTGATATGAAATTTTATACTTTAGCTATAAATTTCGCGATGCACAAATGTAAAAAAAAAATTACACCTATGTTACGCAATCGGAGGGACCTATAATTCAAATGATTATAATAATAATCAACTATTTAATATAATATACTTACCCCATCTGGCATTAGTGATTTCATAATTTTGTCGAAGCATCCAGGCAGATCGTTCACCCAGTGTAACGCCAGCGATGATACTATGAGGTCTAGGCTGTTCTCGGGAAACTGAAAATGTAGTGAACTAGCTGTTACCCGTGACTTCATCTGCTTTTTGAGATAACAGATACTCTATGTTCATTCTCATGAGGCATATCTTCTTCACATTAATAATAATATCTCGAGACAATTCACACAACGCCATCTATACCCATGCTAAATACATTACAGATTAAAATCCAGGCTCTCATTTAGTCATGACATCTGATACCCATCTGCATGTAAGTTTAATATGGATGTTTTATAAATATCAAATGGTCTATCACTAAATCTCAGATGTTAGTAATATTTAGAGGTAACTAGCGACCCGCCCCGGCTTTGCACTGGTGCAAAACTGATAACACCGCACTGGTATGTCCTTTCATTTTAAATCTATAATATCTTCTCCTTTCATTTTAAATCTATAATATCTTCAGAAATATTCATTTAAATTACATGGCCATATGAATCTATATTAAATGGACAATGTATTAAGGGTACTTAATTGGCTAAAAATTAATGCTGTATTGCTTAAAATCACTATGCAAATAAGACATTGTTTCCCATAACATTTTAATAAAAAATGGTTATTGTGGGTTATCCTTAAGAGATAGACATATACCATTGCAGACCTTTTTAAGATGTACAATACTGTGGTACATTATTTCGATTTATCTTGTGGGATCCAGGCAGCATTTACAATGTAAGTGCAAATAAATGTGTTTATTTACGACATCACATTAGAAATCTCTAAATTTATCAGTGTTTCTCTACAATATTATGCATGTATTATACATAAAAACCTTCCTTTTGAATCACTCTATCTATTAAAAAAACGCTTCAAAATCGGTTGCGTAGTTTTAAAGATTTATGCATACATAGGGATGGTCAGACAGTGAAAGCGACTTTGTTTTACACTATATAGTGATATATTAGAAACTATGCTTACATCAATATTCTCTTCATCTATTACAAGCTTCTCCACCTGTACACCATCACCTACTATTGCATTATCCAGGTGTGTTTGTGATGTATCACAGAGTGTGATCTTCTCTACACTGTCTGGTAAGAAATGTCTGGATACATAACCTCGACTGGCACCTAGAAATATATAATATATCATTACAACACTTATGTCAAAGGAGGCAATGTTAACTGTAAATGTTATGCTGACTGGCTATATTCACCATTACAAGTGCTAATTGTCATGCCCAAAATTTGAAAAATATAGTGAATCCAAGATCCACTTTAGGTCCCTACAGTCCAATCTCCATACTCAACCTTGACATTGGCAAAATCATCTAAACTCCCTTGGCATACAAAAAATATCTCCATGTCCTTCACTGGAGAATCAGTTTGAAATCTATATTGACACACTATTTTCTTTGTGTTACTTAGATATGTACTCACAACCTCTACCTTTATCTTCTACCTAAAGATTGCTTGATAGAAATGGTTTACCAATAAAACAACCTATTGTACAAGCCTAGCTAAATAGTTCATACTTTGTAATATTTAATACTTTTTTTTATATAAACATGGTGCATTCACTATATAAATCATTATTTATTTTATAATAGAGAATCTGCCTATGCGCAAAAGCAAGCAAAAGTGTTAGATTACCAAAATATTTAAATAAACACATTCAGTTTTTATACAACTGTTAATTGACAAATAATGTCATTAGGCATTAAGCTTGCCAATTATATGCATTATTAACAGTGCAATAGAGTAAAATAAATAAAAGACAGAAAACAAAAGGCAACTCTCTTCGGTTTATATTACATTGTATATAAAATAAGTTTGTACCTAGGAGGACAAGCTAATAAGAGAAGTTCATAATAAAATTACAGTAGTCAATTATTAATAAAATATTACTTGCCCAGCTCTAAAGCATTTTTAAACGTCCTTTTTATATCAAAAACTCTGTCAGCGGTACGCCAACCAATTTCTTCTTTTATATGTTCCACTAAATGATAATCTTCTCTGCGTGCCGATCTTTCCCTTTGTAGAGCCTTAGCTTTTCTATCAAATATATTCATACTACGATACACAGAGGTGGCAGTCTTCGCTTTTGTACTTTTTTGCCGAGAAATGTTAATATCATTACGTAAATATTTTGATACGTCTAATAATTTATTTGTAATATATATTTTGTATATTCTTGAAGAGTGCGGTAATACTTTATTGTGTGACATCATTTATAATCTATAAATTATTAATACATTTTGATAAGGTAAAGTTACTCTTTCATTTATAAAATTTTAAGGTTATGTTTATTAGGTAATGTTTACGTTAAAACTGTTAATTGTTATGACAGTTGAAATGTATGATGAATTATGATGTGCTGAGGCATAGTGATTATCTACTTATTAGTGAACGGACCGGAGTAATTTAATCAAGAAATATAATAATTAATTCTAGTCCTTTTTAATAAAGTACGATGCTAAATATTCGACAATAATAATATCTCAACACAATTCACATAGAACCATCTAGTTCCAAGCTAAGCAGAGGATATGTTATGGTATTAGAAAACTTTTATAATAATAATAATACATAGATATTTTTTTAAATATACATGAACAGTTATATCGTATACAAGTGTTTCCACCGAACGAAGAAATAAACCCGCGACCACTGGAAGTAAGACGGTACTAGACTACCGACGTTGTCAAATAAATAATAATAAATAATTGATAAACTTAAGGCCTAAGTAGCAAAATTTGTAATTTCAAAATGGTCACACTGTCTCAGCCGGGTTATGTCAAATTTACAAATTTTAGAGGTTAAGAAAATTGAAAATCCAGTATTAAAATCTATATTTGACAGAAATTAATCTGTTCATTTACTTTTATAAGCATTACATTTCAGCTTGATTTCAGCACAACAAAAAATATATATAATATACTGTAAGTAACAAACAATACTAAAATATTTTGATATTTATAAAATTAATCTAATTATTCAAATATAGGGTACTGGCACCAGTAGTCAGCCTTTTAGTGGTAAGTCTGAGTTCAAACTTATATAAGAAAATATTAGAAAGAGTAAATTGAAAGTCTTTTGTATAATTTAACTTACTCATTTATTAAACTTTGTTACAAAATTAACAAAAATTACAAATTTATCCTTTAATAAAGTGAAAAATACTTTTTAACAAAATAAGGCACTTTTCACCAGTGCTCAGCCGCCAAAAACTAGTACTCAGCCATATTGCCACCAGTGGTCAGCCTCTCTTAAGATCAATAGTTTCAAGCTTAAAGATTAAGAACATTAATAAATAATTAGTCCGGTCATAGAACCTAAAAGGACTTAACTGTGCCCTAACAATCACAACAAATACCTATCTAACTTAAATCAGTCGGAAACTTCTTTAGTAACATCATTTAAAAAGATTTCAAGTTCTTCTTTATTTCTAAAAGTTTGTCGCCGATTAACAATTTTTTTAGGAGCTTATACAGGTTTCTGTGTCAGGAGTTTCAGGATATAGAAGTATATTACTGAGAATTTTAATTTTATTTTGTTCTGATTTCCACTAAATCACAGTCTGTCTTTGTGTACAATTCCTTATCATAATCATAATTTTTCTTCTTTGTAGTCTCCTTCACTTTACTTTTGGTAGAATCTAGAGCTGCTTCTTTTCTTTTTTTGTATAAAAAACAATTTAAATATGGACGGTTGAACACTGGGTCTACTGTCACCAGTACTCAGCCATGTAACAAACTCTAACTATTTAAGTGGCCGACTATTGGGTTTTTGACAAACATTTAGTCAGCCAGGGGTGGTTGAGTACTAGATAATGTATATAAAAATGGGACCCTCGGCCACTTCATTATTTAATAATTCTTAAGAAAAACATGATACTTTTCATTGATTACAATGCCAAAAGTCTTAATTAATGTAAATTTTAATACAATGTGGCCTAAAATTAACAAAAAAATTAAATAAATTACCATTTCTGTGAACGCTTCTTACTAATAAAAAAATGGCGCGCACGCCGCATGTCGCCTCGTCAGCCGATGACGTCGAAATAGATTCATATTTAAATCGCAGCCACGTAGCTATTATGTTTGGATTTAATTCTAGCAATGAGAAGTTATAGAAGCTATTTAAAATAATTTGATTAGGTATTTTCTGTTATAGCGCTATTCCTATTGGTTTTAAACCGAAAAAGGCTGAGTACTGGTGCGGGGCCGACTACTAGTGCCAGTACCCTACTACTGTATAACATATACAGTAGAGAGAGATAGACAGTACAGAGAGTATTTTTCATTATATTAAATGTTTTATTTTGCCAAATAATATGTCAATACTAAATTGAATTTATATACACTTGTAATTACTTTTATTTTCACCCAGTAAGTGTTGGCGTACAATATGTTTACAAAATAAGAAATGATATTAATTTATACCACAAATATATCTACTTATTTTTTTCTATTATTTTTTCATTGGTCTTGTTCTGATTAATTTATTTTAATCTTGCATGTCAGAAGATCATATAATAAACTTATACCACAAATATTTCCTATTAAAATATACTTATTATGTATTATTTTTTCATTGGTTAATTTATTTTAATACTGTATGTTAAAAAAATTGAGATATGTTTGCTGAAACTGAAAATATATTGGTGCTATTTGCAAGTGATTAGTTCATGGAATTTTTCTCACAAATCTACCTTTTTGGAACAAAATTCTCTTTTAAAATAAATTAAGATAATAATTTTACATTGCAGATGTGGCCAATAATAATGCAGTTTTTGCGATCGAATGCACCTTTCATTACACTCCCAGTCGCTGCTATAGTAGGAATTATAGGATACAATTTAGAAAGTTTACTATCAGATAGATATACACCTTATAATAGTGAGTATAATCTGCAAATAAGTATTAAAGCTCTATAAAATGTTTTAGGCTTGAACTTACTTCTATATTTTTAGCTTTTCTTACAACTTTAATGGAATCCAATATTGGTGCAAGTGAAGGATATTATAATGAGATTAAGTCATCCCATCATTATAAATTCACTAGGAATTATTCACTATGATTTCCAGGAGGAACATGTGGTTGTCAACCTGACAGAATACATTGCTAATAATGGGGTCACTGGTTCCCATTACTGACAATCCCTTAACCCACCAATGGTACTATACTAAAGCAACTGAATCTATTTTATTGACAATAATAGAATGGTGCAACCACCTGCACTAATAGTTTACTCTAGCAGAGCACCAGTGGAGAATAAGATGAGCATGAGATCAGGTCAGTTAACCCAACCATGAATTTATCACAATGATTTCCAGGTAGCACCATGGAGAGGTCAACCTGACATGGTACATTGCTAGCAATGAGTTTACTAGTCCACTTACTAACAATCCCCTTCCACTAACATATCTATTTGGCACCCTGTTACAAAGAAAATAAGAATATGTCCTTATTAAATATATTTTTCACATTACAGAGGCTGTCCAAGACCAAAGGTTAGAACGACTAACAGATGAAGAGTTATTAAGTGATCCAACAAATGTACAAAAATTAAAATACAAGGAAAATGTACTTGGAAAGAATGTATCGCCATCATTACAGAAAGACTAATAGATTATAGACTGAATAAGACTGCTTAAGGTTTATGGTAAAAAGTTTCATACATATCTTCATAACTACAAATTACACTGGTGTCCATAAGCTGTTCTGAATATCATAGACAAGTTATGTGAAATACAATATTCTAATTTTCACCTACCCCTCCCCTATTTGTTTCTGCCTGCTCTATTGGCAAAGTTGGCTAAGCATCAATTTTTTAAATTATTTAAAATTTAAAAAGAAAAATTTAATGCAGATAACATATAGTACTTTTTTTTATTACAACCATAATACCAATACAGTTAATAAGCAATGGTAAATGCCAACTATTGTCTATACATATGAACATTACCACTGATACATCATGTGCCACTTGTGGTTCCCTTCATGTATTGCCATTCTGGAGAAGGTGCCATGCACTCATACTCTGCTTTGTAATATCTCCCATTTAAACATGTTGCCACAACATTACAGTGTGAATTACTTCGTTTGTTGTCATTTACTCTCTATATATGATATAGTCAAGTACAGCAACTCTGCTAAGACCACATAGTCTACATAAGACAATCTGAATATGAAATTAAATGCGAATTTCGCCAACCATTTAAATGTGATTGAATAACAATTAAATACTTTCACATTTAGAATATTAATTATTATCATGCAAATCATTAATCGTGCAAATGCTCAAGTGTAATGAAGTCATGTAGTTAGATATAATTAAGTATGTAAATACATATTAATACTATTGTTGTAGATTTTAAAATTGTTTTCCAATAAATGTTACTGTACATACAAGGCTCGTCATTTCAAACCCTAATTTAAATGAAGAAATATTACAAGTTTAACGTGTCTGTTATCACAACTCCTAAATAGATTAACCGATTTAGATAGTTCCTTAGTTTAAAGTAGATAAGGCTTCACAAAATTTGCAAAATATTTCAGTAATATAATTATACTAGATACTTGTGCATTAGGCCGCTGATATACAGTCGGTTAGTCATGAAGTTGCCTAAATCTGACTAATGTTACATTCGGATTGACTTATTCAGTTGATACAACCCGCCATTTTTCGGAGTCCATTGTAACGTTAGTCGCTTTCAGCCAACCTGACGACTGACTGTATATCTTCAGCGTTATGAATCAAAGTTTGGAATAACTAGACCACTACAATAATTAGTATTTTAGGCAATGCTATGAAAAAAATGTTTTATATTTTAAATAATATATTTTGATTTAATTATCCATTTTACATTTAATTATCGTTAAAATAATTACACAATTATAAAACATAGTGCCAATCGCACGAATCACAGAAAATATCAACTGACAAATATAATTCTCTACTTGCTACATAGAGCAGTACTCAGGGGAAAGGAGGGTAGAAACATTAAGTTACATGATACAAGGTGTAATGCAATGTATGTGCGCAATTCAGTAACAACATCATGAGTAATTAAGTACTTTTAAACAAAATTAACATTTGCGATATATTGTAATACGACTTTTTGATATTTCATACAAAAGGTATGTAAAAAAATAATTCACGTAAATCTGGACCAAATTCTAAACTGGACTATCACCGTAAACCGATACAAATATTTTTATCACATCATTTCTCTTCCATGCTCATACATTTCTGACTACATATTCTAAAAAGCGATCATCTATGGATACAAGATTTTCTTAAACATAATTACATTTTTAGTTACAGTAACAATACTTGGTAGGTACCACTTTAAATCCCCGTAATACCCCTAAATACTCCCCTTGCAGGTATGAGCGAGCGACGTACAATCACAACAACAAGATAGGCATTCGAAACAAATATACTTATGTATATACAATTCATATATTTACAAGATACTTTTTCCTACTTATATATATATAAAACATGATCTTATAAAAATTGTAAAACAGATATATTAAATAAAATTATATTTGGTTGTAGTAATATGAAAAGTAGATGTAACTCGAGACATTAATATAAACCAAATAACCCTTTCTCCTTTAATTTTTTTACCTACTAAAACTAAGTAATGCCTTGTACTACGCGTGTTTTACCATGGCATACGTATCAGAGATACGAACTACTGACACAGGTCCTATCTGACAACTCAACAAATTAATTTTGAATTTACCCTACAGTGAAAACTCCAGTTAAAATCTTCCGCTGTATCAAATCGCAGTGGGAGGCTAAGAATTTATAAATCCAAATATATATACATACAAAAAAAACGGTGAAACAAATAAAAGAAAAAAAAATAATGTTAGATACTAAATATTACAAAATATATATTAGGCTGGCACAAAATTTAAGGTGGTCACTAACTATGTTATAAAAGCTCAATTTTGACTTCAAAAAACAAAAATGTTTTAGAGTATGTCACCTACGCCATGGCATAACATGCGAAGTAATCAAATATGAGATGGCAAACACCGTAATTCCATTTCTATAGCGACAATATATCTGAATAAAAAACTAAAGAACTAACCAATTACACTAAATAGGCTGACATCATAGTCGTTATTCAAATGTGACTAACGTTCCGATGGACGCCGATTAGTGCATTTGGTTGCTATGCTCCCTCGATAGAGATAGGCTGCATAGCAACCAAGTGGGCCCGTGTTAGTATAGAAATCTGTTATTTTGCTAAATAAATATTAATATATCTTGTCTATAAAATTTATTAAGTTATACAGTCGCTGCTTGTCTTACGGTATAATCCACCTTACAAATTACTCCAACTACTTTCATTACAAAAGCTTATAAACTAATCAACATAAACATATTAACAATTATTTATATTCAATAGGGCTTTTCATTATACACTTCTCTACTTCCATGAACGAACAATATGTCTCATAACTAGTATTATTCGACAACAGATACCTTCGCACTGTCTCTAAATCTTCTAGCGCTCTCGTTTTCTTAATAATAGTCTCCTTCTCATCCGATTCTGGTTTTTCAGTAGCAAGTGGCAGTATTTCTTCCTTTTCTTTATCAGCAAATGCTACTGGCTCTATTACTTTATGATTCCCCCCAAATACAGACCCATTAGTGCCTTGACCAGTCAATAATTCTTCATCTACCGTCAAATACATATCTAAATTTGACAAGTCAGTAAAATAGGACTCAACATCATAGTCTTTCAACATATTACACATCATTTCTTCGTCATTATCATATATTTTTGGTATCTCCACAGAAGGTGTATCAAACTTTTTCACATCATAACCTGTATCAATAAATGCTTTAGTAATTATTTCTGGTGGCGTCCGATCCCATGCTTTTTGGACAATATGCAATGCTTCCAAACACGTCAGGTTTCTATCAATCCCCCTTAAAGCATTCATAGCCTTTTCCTCTATGATCAATCTACGAAATTCTTCCCTAAAACGAATAAATATGCCATTCTTTATAGGCATCAATCCTGTCGATGCTTTCCAAGGGACGAAGACTAGTTTCAAATGAGATAATTGCAATTTAGTATGTATTGTAGCACGATCTAGTATCAATACCGCTTTCTTATTTAAAACTTGTAGCTCCCTATTCCAATATTTAACATATTCTTCAAACATAGATGTAGTGAAATGCGCTTGACAATGTCTTATGTACGTAACTGGTAGTGTATCGGGATCTCTATGCGAATGTAACAATGGGTCTTCAATACCACAAACAAATAACTTCTTTTTATCAAGTCCGGAGACATTTGTACACATAAATATAGATAACCGATCTTTTGCATACCCTTGGATGAATTTTTTACCGCCTAATTTCTTGATCCGGCCTTTAGAAGGATTGTAATATAGACCTACCTCATCTGCAGTGTAGATGTCCTCATCAGGTATACCAAATCGTACATCACACCAGTTCTCCTTGAAGAATTGCTTTTTCCACTTGGATTCAATTGATAAATTGTGGTAATCACGTTTAGATGGAGTTCCTCTCAAGCATATGCTGTATCTCTTCTTAAATCTATCTAGCCACTTCTTGCTACCATTGAATGCAACAAAACCACAGTCTTTGGCAAAAGCCTCTGCAATATCTTGCAACATTTTCCCTGAGACCTGTATATTTTGACTACGTTGATTATGGAACCATTCCACTATTCTATTATCCAATATTTTGTTCATGTACTTGGTGGATCTTTTACCTGCCTTTTTGGGTAATATATACTTTTCGCGATCCTCCCAAATCTCGTTGACTACTTCAGGCGTTAGATTGTAGAGCCGGCATATATCAGGTATTGATCTTCCTTTATGCATTTTACTAACTATAGCACATTGTGTGGGATGACTTAACTGGTCGCGCTTGATGAATCCGTCGTGTTTTATTAGAGGAACTGGTGGTTCTGGTTCTGTACTGCTATTCAAGTCTTCACTCTGATCTTCAGACTCTACTTTGACTTTGACACTGATGTTGGTGCCTTCAGTTTTAGATTGAGATCCTTTTGATTTTGACCTAAGATAAAAAATAATTTATGTTTAAAGGATTCACAACGAGTTAGGTAAAAGTTACTAGATAATTGTTTCCTGAATCGATTTTGACGCCACTTAACCTGAACATTAGATTAAATCGGATTGTCTGTGGTCTAAATCAAAAGATTGATTCCTAATAATTAGTCCTCCTTTTGAAATATATAAATAAAGAAAATAAGCAATGCAACCCGATATAATAGTTGTGATGAAAGTCACGTGGTTATACCATCTCCACAAAATGGGCTGACATCATTGGAGTATCAGGGCCACAAGATATTGTAATGCCAGGAAATTCAGATGAGATATTAAGGACAAAGAGTGTTTGTCCATAATATATCACATGAACATTATCCCCACCTACATTATCTTCCAAGAAAATGAGATCTCAAGTAAAATGTAGTTGATGAAAAAGTGTCTGAGATTGAAACAGATAAATCATGTGAAACAGAATAACTTACCTACCATTCAAATAGAAAAATCTATAGCCTAATAATTTAAGTATTAAACAAAACATGCATGGACGGTGAAATATAAAAGTGAATAATGTCATGTGAAATATGAAATATACTGTTGAATAATGTCTGGGGAAACATGTTATGTATTAAAGTGGATACTTTGTGAAAAAGTAGTCCAGAAACATGTGTTTTAGTGAACTGTTGAACAATCTCAGGGGAAAAATATGTGATGTAGAAACGTGAGTACTTTGTGAAAAAGTAATCTATAGATGTTATTCTGGCCAGTGTGATTTGTGCTTCAAGAGTGAGTATATAATAAATATAAAACAGTAGCCTGATCAAGCGAAATGCTTACTTATTTTCAGGTGGACTCTCCATGTGGCTCTTGTTATGATCATCCAGTTCCTTTTTGGTATGAAATTTCGCGGGGCATTGCGTGCACTCTTCGGTACGCTCATGCGACATCAGATGACGACCCTGCAGTGCATATTTATTAATTTATTAAAAAAAGTGGTTCTTGTGACTTCCTAAGCATTTTTTTAAACTTATATGCTGTGTGTTAGTGTACATTTGTAGTTCGCCATTTGGAATTAACAGCTTTTCACTAAAGTCATATGAAAGTAGAGATAGGATACTTACATCAAAATATTGAATTAAAAAATTGTCTGTCTGTCTGTTTGTTCTTGCTTCGGAAAGTGTTCTTGCTTGACTTGCTCTGAAACTGGTGGATCGATTTTGACGAGACTCGCAGATAGCTAATGTTATAAGGAGTTAAATTACTCCTTATAACATTAGCTATCTGCGGGCTACTTTTATTATATAACTGTTCTTTATTATTATTAAAAAGTTTAATTCCACTCAGACAAAGTCAGGGGTAACAGCTGGGGCCGTTCAAGTATTACGTAAGCACTATAGGGGGGCGGGGGGGTCTTTTCTTTGCTTATTTTGGATGACATGGGGGTGGGGGAGTCTGTATGATGATTACGTCATCGGTCGTAATTTACTTTTTTACAGGAATTCACATTGTCTTTGCTAAAAAAAACAATACATTAATTGAGAGATGTTTACGTAAGCATGGGTGGAGGGGGTAAGAGCTTTGCTTACTTTTGCTGACAACGGGGGATGGGGGGTAAATAATTGTGATAAATCTGCTTACGTAATACTTGAACAGCCCCTAGTTCATGACTATAATTGAAACTTACCAAATTTATTTTCATTGAAAAGGTGAGGTCACATAGTGGACATTTAAGCTCCCTACCCACATGTACGCGCATATGCATCCGTAGACTAAACGCCTTGTTAAAATATCGGCCGCAATGCTCACATTTGTGTCTGTAAACAAAATAAATCATATGTCAGTATTTGCTGTTTACCGTAGCCCACGCGGTACCATTATGTCTACAGGGAGGTTGGATTTCTTGGCAACAGAGACTAATGGCTTCATTACTGTATAGTGTAGTCTTGTCCTTTAACTGCTTGGATGAATGGATTTTATTTTCAACCATTCCGAAGTCAACTTGACATGGTACATTGTTAGTAATGGGGTCATTAGTTCACATTACTAACAACCCTTTCCCCCATCTGGGTTCTCCCCTAAAGTGTACAGATAAACTTCAAAATTCACTCTCGCCTAAGTAATCTGCTGTATGGAGTAAGCTATGCTATCTATCCCAATTCTGATAACACTTTCTACAATTGTAATTTTTTTTATTATTCGATGGATTCACGATATGTAGTATTTTTTAACGCTTTCACTTCTACCACAGTTATTGTTTTTTAATTAGGACTACATAAAATGTGCCAAATACAACCTAAATTCCCGAATTTTTTATCTTCCATATTTGCAAGCCAGTAAAAGCCATTTACACAGTTTTATTTCTGTTATCATTAATTAAAAACTATAACTTGTTAATAATTAATCCCTTGTCATTTTCAAAAGTTAAATTGGGCCTACATTGAACATTTTTATACTCAATCCTTTTCAAGTCCAGAAAAGGAGCTACATTACTAAATTGAAATAGTTAAAAACTGACTGTAAATGATAGAGGAAAGTCAATTAAACTTAATTTATTTTAAAATGAATATAACTACACAGATAAAATTCCAGCCACATATAGTTCAGAAATAAAACCTGTAAATTTACCTGGTTTGAACCTGATGCACAATAGAGTGCTCTCTTAATTCAGGAGCTCTATCAAAAACTTTGTCACATGATGGGCAGGGAAATGTCCTTGGTTTTGACACCACCTTCCTTTTTTTCTTCTTCTTTGGCGGGGGTGCATCGCTTTTATTCTGAAATTAACATTAAATTACAAATTATCTATACATGTAAATAAAATTGGTGTCTGTTTGTAGTATTGAAATAACTGTTTTTTATGGTACATAAGTACACCAAAATAAGATTTTTTACAATTTTTTTCTGTCTTAGAACCACCAATATTAAAGGATTTATGCAAGCTTCAGATATCATGGGGCTAAATCCGATATCTTTTTAGTCTAGAGTGGTTGGCAAATCAGTTGTCTTCTGTTTGGATAGGTGGTATTATTTATGGTGGTAGGTGGTACCACTCCACTTTTCATGCCGTTTTTTAGAAGTTTTTTTCTCAATGTAAATTTATTTTCAGGGTTTTTGTTTTTAAACATGTCAACCCCATTATTACAAACTAATCGTAACAATTCTTAAAAATAACAAACACAATCAAATAATTACCAACTGAGCAAGATCGATTTATTAAATTACTGTTATCAGCACACACAAACACAGCATATCAGTAGTAGGGGCATGTATGCTCTGAAGAGTGCCCATATCAAATTCATTGATTTTAAAATTTTAATAAATAGTTTCCTCTCTACTCAATTCCTATCACATTTAATCAACAGGTGCAGGACATCTTCGACTTTGACACACAACACAATCGGGTGAATTATCTTTTTTTATTAAATATCCATACTTGATGGATAGTGACCAGATTTTAAAAGTTAATGTATGATATGGTGTAAATTATACAATATTCCACTTGAATATTACAACACAACATGGGCTATACAGATTTAGCAACTCAGCTGTTATTGATTTAAGAGTTGTTGACATACACTAATATATGGGATAGTAAAATCTATATAGAATGATAATAATAATAAACTAATATCCTATTAAAACTTCTGTAAAGGATTGTTATCAGTTGATGTTGAATTTTATATCATTAACACCATTAGACATAACATTGTCCTGATTATATACATTATACATACTATATAATACCGTAAGGAAATATTCTAATATATGGTAAGGACAGAAGAAAATTTTAAGAATGAAACATATTTTGAATTATATTTGATAATAGTTTCATGTGCAAATAAGGACTGATGGTACAAACCGTATAATCTAAGGGTTGGTCGTCATCAATTTCTTCTACTTCTACTTTAACCAAGACTTCAGGAAGGATCGCGTGCTCATCACTATCATTATCATATTTCCGCTGTATTTTAATGTCCTTAGAAAGATTGTATTTTCGTTTCAAATCCAGCAAACACTCATCGTCAGATGAAGATTCATTTCTGTCAGAATTGTTACCCAGTGGGTCCTTAGCCACGCTAATAGTAGCCATTGATTTAACACTTACACACATTTATTAAGTGTTTACATTTATATTTAATCATATCACCACAAAATAGACAATAAAGTAATAAATAAAAATAAACACCGGATTTCGGTTGACGCCATTTTTAACGTCACTTTTTTTTTTATTCCTAATCAAACCAAGCAAGGTTAGACTAAGCTCAAATTTTATTGGCCATAAATTTAAGAATGCATTCACAGATAATTTATTTTTAAGGTACTTCATTGAAACTTACGCATAATAAAATCTGTTTGCTAAATAATACCTGTCTCATTTTTTTTATATTGTTATGTAAAGACTATCATTGTGCTCACATATCCTCGTTTAATTTTATTTATATATATTTTTTCTATATTATATTTTATTAGTTAAACTGATTTATGTTCGGACCATTGTTTTTTCATAAGTACAAAAAATTATCATTTTTAATTTACGAGACTATTTTTCATAACTACTGACACAATAAATGAAGGCTCATGAATTGATTTAATCCAAACTTAATATCAAAAATAATAATATTTTGACTGCTTTTTCTGTACTGGTAACTGTCAATATGTCAACAATTAAAAAAGTAGCTCCTGTCATTAACCGCCACAAAAAAACGATTGCGCTTCGCTTCTCTTTTGGAATTTATGGTACTGTAACAAGGCTTGCTTTTGTTTCGCAGCGTATTAAACTTGAAAAATATCATAACGAAACTCATCAACAATCCATGGTTAGCATCTAATATCGCAAAACGAAAAGATTTAAATGAATTTATCGGTGCGTCGTTGTTTTTTGGATCAATATTACCATGTCTGAATAGCGTCCGCCTAGCGTCGAAACCAAATGGAGACGAAATCTGGCGTTGGCATTCAAGATCATTGGATGAAGAGTATGATGGAACCGGCTGGCGGCGATAAAAATGATGGTCGGTTAGTAAAAAGAGAGAAAATGGGTGAATCTTACAATGGACCTGAGAATGTAACATACGACATGAAACAGCAACAAAACGAAACCAGGTACCGCTGTGATGTTTGTGATTTAACATTTGAAGGTATGGAATTTTTAATATTACATAAAAAATTTCATGGCAACGACAAGGATGCGCCGATTCTAGAGCCAGAACCAACAGTCTCTAAAGAGGGACCGAAAAAGCGGCGCAAATTTAAATGTGACCAGTGCGACGTGAAAGTGAACTCTCAGTATCACTTGGATATACATCGCAGTAAACATGAGGGGTCTGCGTCAAAGAAATTCATTTGTGAAGTGTGTGACAGGAGTTTTGTTGCAGCACAATTTTTGAAAAGTCATATGCAGACTCATTCGTCAACGAGCACAATAAACTGTGAGATATGTAATAAAAGTTTCACAGGTCAGGCGTATCTCAAACTTCATATGCAGCTACATAATGATATTAAGAAATTTAAATGTTCCAAATGTGATGAAATGTTTCCTACGAAAAATTGCCTTAAAATACACATGAAGAAGCACACAAAAGTAAAAAATTTCAAATGTGATTACTGTCATAAGCAATTTGTATCGAAAATCACAATGGAGAAACACAGACAGACACATGAAGGGCAGCCCATAGACTGTCATGTGAAATGTACACAATGTGACAGAACGATGCATTCATCGTTATTAAGGACTCATATCACAAGAGCTCACCCCCTCACAGTGGAGGATGATGTGAAACGACCACACAAGTGTTCAACTTGTGGTAAGAGTTTTATTGTAAAAATCAACTTGAATCTTCACATACGAGTCTGCCACCCGGATTTAGCAGAACCCGAAGATGAAGAAGAAGAGGTCATGACAGACAACTCTTAGCTTATAATAATTAAGACATACAATACTTATATGTATTACTAAATAATATACTTTTTTATGCTAACCATTTATTTGTAATTATACAAATATTATTTTTCAATAACTTTTTCAGTTTCATTTTTATGTAATAGTTTTACCCCCACCATTATGCACTGAATATTTTTTTATGGAGAACAAAGCACATGCCAATAAAAATTGATAGTAAATCTTTAGTTAGGAACTTAAATAAAGCTTGGCTCATTATATTTTTGAGTACAATTATGATTTGTATAGAAACCATAGCAATAGTTCATAAACTTGAGTGATATGCAATAATTTATTATAATCATCAGGAGAATCTGTCCATACATACAAAATTACCCTTTATAAATTTTTTAATAGAGTATAAACTGCAATTCAGTCAGGTCAGTAAGACCTACTGATTCCGGTAAAGGAAATACCGATAAAAAGCCGAAAGATTAATTTGAGCGACAGTAGGGTTCTAGCGACATATTATAGGTCCACAATTGATAATACCCCTGACTATCACATTTCCTATAACGGTATCGTGAATTAATATATCTATTTCCAAATTGTTATAAGTATCTAAGTATGTGTACGTGTATATATTTATATATCGTATATGTGTCAAATAATATGTATGATTGATAAATTAGATATATATATGAATTATGACGAAAGTTATTTAAGGGCTAGGTATTTAAACCTTATAGTATATAATAGAATGGTAGAGAACGCCCTTTGTTGTTAAATTCGTCATATGTACATTTGTTTTTGTATTTGTTCATTAAAGTTTAAATAAATATATATGTAATAAAATTCAATCGAATTCAAAGATTTTGCATGCGGTTTTATCTTGTTAGTCATTATATTCATTTTGGCGACCTTTAATGTTACTACTTTTTCGTGGAATAAAAAACGCCTGCTGAAAATGTATAGCAATTACACAGAACTGCGATTTTTCTTTTGAATCATTAATACTGTGTAATATTATATATCCTTTATTGTGGTAATATTTACTTACAGGGAGGAAGGGGACAGTATCAGTATCAGTATCAGTAATGTGTACTAATAAACCCAATGTACCAAGTTTGGTTGACCTCAACGCAGGTCCCCCTGGGAACCATCGTGATAAGTTACTTATGAATGTTCACGATGGGCTAATTGACCTGACCTCATGTTCATCTTATCATCCTCAACTGGTGCACCGCCGTAAATTGTAAGAGCAGGCGGGTGCATCATTCTATTAGCATCCAAAAATACTCACATCTGAGATTATACAAAGTTACAAGTCAAAACTAGGTTTTGACTAGGTAATACCACAGATAATATGGTAATAGTTAGACATAGCTATACATACCAAATAGAAGGTTATTGATAGTAATCAATCATTTATTTTAAAATCAAAGATGCACACTGAATGTGTTGAAAAAAAAACAAAGTGTTAAAAGAATTTTTAAATTCAACTCCGTCACATGTTGAAATTAATTTTTTCTAAATTTATTTTCAGATTTTCACTCAGGTGAAAGTTTCATGAGCATTCTGACTAGCTTGGTGTACCTTGCACGACTTGACTACAAAACAGTAGTCAAGTTATATAGGTAGGTACATGGTAGTTAGTTCCTAAAAAATATATAACTTACTTCTATCCATGTTGGGTCTGTTTTGTTAATAAGCGTTTATTTATGAAACAATAAACCCACTTTTTTTTAACTTGGAAAATATCCTCATGGCCCGCCCGGGAGGGGTGAACCGGTATTGCCGTATGCCGGTTAAAACCCCCAAGGTGTTCCTTCTCCTACAAATCCATACTGGACTGTTTTGCCACTGTATTTCAAATTACAAAACTGTAGTTACCCTATTGTTATTGGATTCCACAGAACGAGAAAGGGAAGTTTAATAGGGTAATATTTTTTTAAGAGAACAGATATTTATGTAAATTAAAAAAAGAGAATTAATTTTTTTTATTGTTTTAAATAATTTCCATTAAAAAAGAGAATTTACATTATAAAAAGAGAATTTAGATTTTTTATTGTTTTAAATAATTTCCTAAATTAATTAATGTATTCATTTTTCCGACTGCTCCTCTTCTTTAGTCTCTTCTTCGTTGATTTCTTCTGTTTTAGCCTTTTCCTTCTCTTGTTCTTCTGCCTCTCGCGCTTGCTGTAGAATAAGACAATATAAGTATATATACTCTTTAACGAATATAAGCCAATATAGGGTTTCAAGTTAGAAGCAATAAAAAAGGCGACGTCATTATGAAGGCAACACTTGCCTTGCCCACATTTCGATAAATAACTGTAACTGTATTTAGGTATATTTGAATTCAACTGGTAAGACGCTAGCCTATTACAGTTTTTAGGATTAAATTGGTTTGTTACCGGTGTTTCCAATACGGGAAAGTCAGCTGATTTGAACTGAAGATCTTTTGCGTTTGATTTCTAATCAAGCTGATATAAAAAAATAAGTGCGGTGGTGAAAGCTAGTCCATGAAGTCCACAAAAAATTAAATCGATGATCTGTATGGAACTAGTGTAAAATAGTCTAATGATGAGCATGAAGACTCATGAAGTCAGGTCGGGTAGCTTATTGTGACAAATTCACAAGGTTATAACTGTAATAGTTTCAAGGTTTGGAGGTCGACCTGATGATCAAAATATCTACGTCCAATAAGCTACTACTAATCCCCATGGCAAGTAAATTCCCATACTTATCCATTAAAACAATGAGACGATAACCAATTGTTACATCAGAAAGTTAAATAATTACCGCCGCTTTCCTTATCTCTTCTTCTTTCTTCTCCTGTAACTCCTGACTCAGTTCTCTAATCAAGTCAATCTGTTTCGTGTACGATTCAGGTAGTGGATCGAACACCCTGACCGGTTCCTTGGTGACATCGTCCATGGCATCCAGGAATGAAAGGTAACGAGCTTTCAACAACTCATACCTTTCTTTAGGTACTTGAGTGTAGACGTAGTCTCTTAGTATTGACATCTTTCTGGAAACAATAATTATTTATTTATTAACTAGCGGACGCAAATTCCTCTGCGTTATATTTTCTCTCGTTTTGCAACATTTTTTATTGCAGCTCCACTCTTTTTGTCGTAGTGTGATGTAGCCTATAACACTCACAAATAACGTGGGTTTCTATTGGTAATCGATTCTTTAAAACCTGTTTAGTAGATTCTTCCTAAATCTATAGTATGTACCTATATTTTACGATTTGTTTGTGACCTTTTCACAACTAAACAGCTAAACATATCTTAATGAAATATGAAGATAAATTGTAGAGAGTGAACGAACATAGGCCATTCTTTATCTTAAAAGTGCAGATAAAGTCGCTGGTAACAGATAGTAAATATATCACCCTGGACGGTGTCCTGGTCTACCTACCTCTAAACCTAAAAAATATTTTATATAAATATACGAATATCAAATTAGTTCTATCTAATATTCTCTTTAATACTGATAGTAGGTACCGTTGTCTTTATTAAAATCAAATTATGATAATATTACTGGAAATATAGTAAGTAAATATTAAAGCCATATTGTAATTTGTAATTCAACCACAAGAAATGTTCCTTGTAAAAAAAAAGGAATATAATTAGGAACTTACCAAGTTATTGTAAGCTGTTTGATTCGTGTAATTTCATGTAATTTAAAAACCAGAATGACCACAGACAATGGGACCGTACAAGAACGCATATTTCTTTTTTAATCATTGCCCTTAAAAGACAGTGGTTCGCAACAGTTTCGTCTAGGTTCTCTATTATTGCTTGCATCTTTCGCTCATCAGGAAATAAGTAAATTACATATTTTAAATTATTGTTCATGTGTAAATGAGGAGTGGAGCGATTGATGACCCTAGTCCTAGTAATCTACCTTGAAAACTGCGCAACGTGTTTAAATCCAGGTGAATTCGCCATGATGGGTTAACTAACCTGACATTATCTTTTTGATTTAAGCGCCAGCATTTGCTTTTAATCTGAGAACATCCGCGCCTTAGATCTTTAGGAGCCATATTTACGATGTTTATGGTATAACATACTACTCGTAAATATGGCTATGACGATGTCATACTACTACCAGGCTATACCTACATCGCAAACACATGCATGGATTGATGTTTTCTTTTCCTGTTTTATTTTATACATTTTGTATATACATAAATTAATAATAAATATCAACTTTTCTTGAACTCCTTCAAATGGTTTACAACGTTTATCGTTAACAATAATTCATTTAAATATGTCTTGCGATTGATAGCCATGAAATAATAAAATGTTTACCACCCCTAATGTCAATAGATCGCAATAATTAATAAAACATTTATAAAAATATGCAAAATATTCAACTCATTATCATAAGAACAAACGCATTAAAGTTTTGATATGTTAATGTGGTGAATTTCAAGTTTAATGATTCCTTACTGAATTGTTTACTTTGTATGTACACATATCACACAAGTACTTAATTATCAATTAAGTTTATTATTAGACACTAACCGAACAAGCAAACGTTCTTTTGCCGTATACCTAAATTAAAGTAGTAATATCGCCATAAAAACATAGAGGTTGGTGGTTGATGTGTGAAAACATAGGAATGCATAAAAAAATAAAATAGATAGAATCTATTCAAAAATAAAGAAGAATTAGGTTTGCCCAATCTTATCACTTACGGATATAAAATATAGATAACTTATTCTCAGACTTATCGAATATGCATGTCTATAAAATTTACATCAAAATCGGTCAAGCCGTTTAGGAGGAGTATAGCAACTAACACTATGACACGAGAATTTTCTACATTAGAAACTAGCGAGCCCGGATGCATTAAAATGTATGTCTAGCATTTCTCGGCTTGTTCTGTACATGTATGTATATAAACCTTCCTCTTGACTCACTCTAACTACTGCTGAAAACTGCATTAAAATCCGTTGCGTATAACAAAGAATAATAATGTCGCTCGATATCTAACATGGCACGAGACGACCCTACCGCTAAATCTCGGATTAGTTTGATTTGTTATCGATGTTTCCATCAACAGAGAGTTAGAAATATAATCAAAGGTTTAAACGTGTGATGGTATCAACCAGTTTGAGACAAGTTTTAAGTTAAGATCGGCAAAGTTAAATAGACTTTGCAGAGTACTATTTTTAGTATTTTTCGAAAATAATATATTCGGTCCTAATGCTAAACATTAAATTACCAGCTTCATTAAAAAACAGCCAGCTTCTAGGAATTCAGCCAGAATCGTTGATAATGTACCACATAAAAAACTATGCAATTCTGACTACAATAAAGTCAAGTTACTCTTTAGCTATTTGTTTTTGGACAGAGAATTTGAAGGGAATTCAATTCTCTGGTTCAGAAAAACTCGTATCTACTAAGTATTTGCAATTTAACGCCATCTATTGTCAAACCGCATCTCTACGTTGATACTTGTATACGCTATTTTATTAATAATAAAAAAATGTATCACTGTACCATTAAAAAATAAATAATTATTTGGTAACATGATAGTATAATTATTTTTAAATAGTTCATTTCTTTTTATAAATTATAAAATTTACTTGTCATTTAACAGCGACAGTGAGTGAAATGGAACACAAAGCCACCCCTAAGCAAAGAGCCAATGACTCACTCGTTTCACCCCCTCGTGAAACCACCCGGAGTTTCACGAATGTAACCGAATCGCGCGCGTACTCGTCCCACTTAGAAAACATTAAAAATCCACATAGAATATTATGTAACATCTTTTATATTTTTTTTACATAAAAAAATAATAATACAGTAATGCATCTTTTACAATCAAGTGGTGTGATATACTTAATCTTGTGTTAATTGTGAGTGAAAACACACGAAATGTTGGAACAGCACATATTGATTTTCCACTGACATGAAGATTTAACTTTGTATGCGGAATTGTGTTATTATTAGTGTAATGCTTAAATAATTTATTAAGTGCGCTATTTTGTTGCGGTAACTTAACATGTCATTTGAATGAAAATGTGTTTATTTATTAAATGAAACGATCGATTTAATGCCTCTTAAAACTTAGCTGGTAATAAATATTGTAAATTTAATAAGATAGGATAAGAAAAAAACGTAGGAAGCTTATCTAAAAATAAATGTTAGTGATCACTTGCTTATTCTAAAAAAGCGTATTTACTGGCACTATTAGGGCTATGTTACAAGATATACTGTGATGTTAGTTCTTAATGACACCTAGGCCTTCGTCACAGTCTATCTATAATAATATTTAAAAAAAATATAATCTTCATATTTTATCAACGTTCCATTTTGAAACCAATTAAATTATTTTAATAATTTAATTTAAAAATAAATACGAATACCTAAGTAAATTAAAATGTTAATTGGAACATGCGGTCGCCATGTTATTTACCTTTCGCTGTCTATTATTTATTACTTTTTTAAAGTAACAAAAGAGTTTTCATCAAATTGTTACAGAGAATACTTAGATATTGATGAAAATTCTATAACTCTGTTGAAATAAAATAGTGGGAGAGAGATTTAGGATGGGCGCTGTTGCGTTATTTATATCTTTGTTTTTTTCTTAATTCGTCGGTATATTTCTATGCGATACATTTTATACCCATAAAATTATTACTATAATGACAACAATTATTACATTTAGTCATTATATTTGACTAGATTTTTATTTACAAAGTCGTTACGTAATTTGTTTTTATTTCAGTATTTTTTTTTAATTTATATATTCTAATTGTTACGTATAAATCTAACAATTCAAAATGGCTACAATAAAAAAATCATTTTGACTAATTTTGCATCTAAACAGTCAGTTTATACTTACTTACATGCGATAATATGGGGGTCAATGACCTGTAGTATCAGATTTGAATTTTCTAGAATAATTTTTAATTCATTTACTTTTTTTATTTTCTGTAACTGGAATAGTAAACAAGTTGATGGCCCACCTTTGCGATTGATAGTAAGTGGTAACTGTCACCTATATATGTACATGAATAAATAGCACCACGCTCGCCATGTATTTGACGCCCGTGGGTTACCTTATTCGTTACCATTCCTGAGGTAGGTGTAATGCCCTCGTAATTACCCATTTAAATACAAATTGTTTTTCAATTACCATTGACGATGATAATAATAACAATAATCTTGAATAATCCACACAGCGCCATCTAGTACCAAGCTAGGTAGAGTTTGTGTTACGGGTACTATAATACAACTTCCTGATTTATATCTAACTACTATAAATACTTAGTTATTTTTTGTAAATACATATATAATATTCATAGTAAACAACCAGACTAATACTGTTTGTACCATACTAATAAATAATACTGTTTGTATGGGTAGATAATTGCACTATGCGTGGAATCGAACCCGAGACCATCGGAAGTAAGGCAGTATGCTAAACGCACGTAAATATATGTCTTAATGATTTGACGAGTTTATAGGTATATTTATTTAAATTTTTTTCTTATATATTATAATGTATGTGTGTAAAATACCATAGATTATATAAAAAATATCATTTATACCTACCCTTGTAAAACTGTCTGGACGTTTGCCAAAACGCTCTTTTTCTTAAAATGTTACATTCATGTTCAGGCGTATTAACTTCATACATACAAATGTTCTAATTGTGAACATTTTTTAATGTCAAGCTACATATCGAATTGATGGTAGATTAAGCTTACCATAGTATTTGCAAGAGATTAATACATACTCGTGAACAAGACATTTCGTGCTATCAATTTGTTGGTTATTCCAGTCACATAAATATTATTCAAAAAAAGAAAAATAAATTTTATATCTGTAACCATTTTTTTTTTCAACACGGTTTATTAGCCTTATTATTGTATTCAATATCGTAATTTTATGCATAGTTTAATGTTGAAGATTTTATCTGCATACCTATACTCTTAAAACTTCTCTCTTTCAGAATCATACTTTGTTACATAGATTCAATTTTCGTTCAGCACACAAAAGGACGATGCCAACTCTAAAAAACTGTGTTAATTGTTCTGTGATAAATATAAATATAAACAGACAAACGTTACGGCCGCCTCGGTAGTCTAGAGGTTTACTTTCGATGGTCGCGGGTTCGATTCCTCGCTTCGATTGTATCGCTCTCGGTATTTTCGATGTATCTATATATTTACAAAAAAAAAGCATCCCAATATTTCTATACACTAAGCTAATAAAGCTGTCTAGTACAAAATAAGTTCTGCTTAGTTTGATACTAGATGGCGGTGTAATATCATTACACGCTGCAATATGAAGAAATACCTACAAAAATAAGACGCACTTTGTCGATTTTTACTACAATTAAATTTATTCATTACTCAGCACTATTGAGTAGTTTATGAGGCTGTAAAACTGACCTAATAAACCAACCCAGTTTCCATTCTGTGACTCGCTTTATCTCGTTTTTCATTTCACTTCAATGCTTTACAACTGTCATGTCAAACCTCGAAACCTTCGGAATTATTTCAACTATGTATGTATAAATAATATGTTATTTTCAATACTTGTCTGAAAATTACTCCCTGTTATAATTAGATCAACTACCTGCCGTCAAAATCGGTCCAGCCATTTCAGAGATTAGCCGGAACAAACAGTCAGACAGACAGACAAAAATTGTAAAAAATGTAATTTTGGTGTATGTAACGTATATTCGTATGCATGTAGTAAAAAACGGTTATTACAATATTACAAATATTTATTTATATGTATAGATAACATCTATACATGAATGTATAGTTACCAATAATTATATTATACTTAATATATAATAATTGCTAACTGTGTCATCTGTCTAATGTTTACTTTACTTTAACATGAAATATAGGTGCCTACATACTTTACAATAGAGATTTATATCAGTGTTGCGGTATTCTCGATTTGTTATAGAAAGCACTTGGCTATACTCCAATTTTACGGCGTTTCTTCTTTAGTAGGTAGTAATTTGATTTGTGTTCTGTGAGACGAGTAAAAGTTTGTAGAAAGGAATAAATCTTGTATATAGAAGAAAATAAAAGATACGTTTGATCCTATACATATAAAATTAAATTATATAATACTTACATAATATATCATTATTTAATAAGTTAATTTACAAAGAATTCCCAGCAAACATATTCAATAACATTTTCGGTATACTAACAGCTACTAAAAATAAGACACAACTAACCAACTTAATTAATATAAATAATTATTGAACTTCGGAAGTCAAATTATTTATTCTTATAGTTTTTGAAGTAAATTTATAAATTATTATTTTTTACATAACTTAATTATTTAGAGTTTTGAAATGTAAATCCATTTTCAACGAAACCAAATAAGCATAAAAATCGGTATATACATAAAATGTTCCAGTCGAATTGCGACTTTCATTTTTAAAGTCGAAAGAAATGATATTAATCAAAAAGATATGTTCGAACTTAGTTAATTCAATTAGTAAACAATTCAGTAATTTTCTTTTGTACAAACATAAGAAAATTAAGTATAAGAGGCATTAAATTGATATAACTTGCACAATTTGCGTTTGTAGAACTTACATAGAAAATTAAGAAATAATAATTTTAGTGAACTATACATAAAAACCAACTAATTAGCGGCATGACCGTCCGAATTTCTAATGTCGAGGAAAGATATTCGAATTTCAAACATTAATAGACAAAGATGAGAGCGCGCGATGCACACACAGTCACATGACCGAGAGTGTTTCCGACCAAGCTTATTTCTGACCGAGATATGACCCGTTCTATTTCTGACCGGATACCGTGAAGAAGATGGAAAGTGGGGGCACTTCGACGGCCACAGAGGCCTACCAGTATGTTGGCCCCTTCAGATTGGAGAAGACTCTTGGAAAGGGACAGACAGGTAATAAAAATTTATAACTAAGGGCACACCCGCCCTCGAATCTAGGGGCGTAAAGGGTCCTCGTTACTTCGAGTGTTTGGGGTTACAGGTTCGATTTATTAGGTGATTATTTTGTGACTTTATTACGAGTAGTGTTTATTTACTAACAATCAAGGGAATGCAGGGGAGTTGAGTATATGTTGGATTTTTAGTGGATATAATTTTATACGTTCACCTCTAATAATCTGCAATATATATTTAGAGGTTATGGGCCTCTATGGTAGATCTCAGTTTTTTATTGTGTGAGTTAAAGGCCCCCTTATTGAAAGCTGTTTTATTCCATAAAGTAGAAAAAACTGACACCTTTAAATCAACCAAATTGCATCTCTTAATTAACTGCAAGGAAATTACTATTTTTTTCGGACTACTTTTATGCTGTTAGCCGCAGCTGCCCTTTACAGCTTTACCGAGCAATTATTTTTTAACTGGAAAATCGTCGTTTTTGAAGCTAGAACAATGAAACTTTTTTTGGTTTAGATTATTGCTTATACGTGGACGATGTCGAGGGAAGAGCTAATAGTGTGTATACTGTAAAACGACATTTTTTCATTACCCAGATATAATCTCCTGACAGAGGCTGCTATTAACCATTACAATTTAAACGACTTAGTGCAAAGTCTTCCTCGGTCTAAACCGAGAAGCAGCTTCTTCACCTAGTATAAAAAAAGTGGCTTCCGTTGTCTGTTCGCTTAGATCTTTTAAACTACGCAACGGATTTTAATGCGGTTTTTAGCAATAGATTGAGTGATTCAAGGGGAAGGTTTATATATATATAATACATATACATCGATCGAAGCCGGGCTGGGTAGCTAGTGCTTTATAAAACTTATCTGTTATAAAACTCTAAACTACTATATTTTTATTAATGATAATGGACCGGTGCACCCGACTGCGCTAACGATTTACGCTGGCTGGGCACCAGTGGAGGATGATAAGATGAACATGAAGTCAGGTCAAAATGGTTCATACTAAATCCACACCGATTGAGCTACACGGTTATTTGCGTCTGTGTGCGTGTATTTCTTGGCATTTTGTAATAGTTAACCGTCGTGACAAGTTCACCAGGAATTTACCCCCATTGTTAATGACGAGGTTAACCTCCACGTGGTTCCTCCTAGAAACCCAGAGGGAACCACGTGGAGTTCAACCTGACTGACATTGTTAGCGATGGAGTATTTGGTTCATATTCCTAACAATCCGTTTCCCCCGACCACTATATTAGCAAGGTTAATATACATATGTACAAAGATCTTCGTACTACGTGATACGTGGTGTTCACCGAAAGTTTAATCCAGGGGGAAGCACGTGGAGGTCAAACTGATTGACATTGTTAGCGATAGAGTAATTAAGTTCACATTATTAATAATCCCTTTCCCACCAAATCACTATACTAGCGAGGTGGATATATGTACAAAGATCTTCGTACTACGTGATACATGGTGTTCACCGGAAGTTTAATCCAGGGGGAACCACGTGGAGGTCAAACTGATTGACATTGTTAGCGATAGAGTAATTAGTTCACATTATTAATAAACCCTTTTCCACCAAATCACTATACTAGCGAAGTTGATATAATGTACTAAGATTATCGCACTACGTGATACATGGTGTCCACCGAAAGTTTAATCCAGGAGGAACCACGTGGAGGTCAACTTGACTAACATTGTTTGGGATAGAGTAATTAGTTGACAGTACTAACAATCCCTTTCCCTCCAAATCCCTATACTAGCGAGGTTGATATATGTACAAAGATCTTCGTACTACGTGATACATGGTGTTCACCGAAAGTTAAATCCATGATAAATGTCAAAGTTTCAGAAGCACCTTTACTTGATCTACGGAAGTGTTAAGGGTATTTGCTGCGAAGATAAATCACTGTTTGTTCGATATCTTAATGTCTTCTTATACCGTTTCAATATTTCGACGTCATTGTTATTTTCTTTCCTTTTATTTTAAACTAGCTGTTACCTAACACGTCGTCCAGGTGGAATGCAACTATTTGTTATATTAAAATAAATCAAATTTCTAAAATAAACTTAAATTATTCCTTATAAGCCTGAGATATTTGGGAGTAAAAGTCCCGTCAAAATGGGTCAAGCCGTTTCGGAGATTAGCAAGATCAAAATTGGACAAACAAAAATATTCAATTTTTTTTGTGTGCATGCACCTTTATTTGCATTGACGAACAGACTTTTAAATTTTATTTATTTGTATAGGTTTCCTTAATAAAATTTGCCTACAGATTTTTATATTAATCGTAATAAAACTACAGTCATTATGGTTATTAATTACAATATTTAATTGCATTGTTTTTTTATGTTTAATTAGTCCTGTATAAGATTTCTGTACCTCTGCACACGTCTCTTCTGTTCAGATTCTTGTGCTAAGGCTTGTAGCAGCGAATTAGTTAGGAAGGGATCTGAAACATAAATAAAAAGCAAACTTCAAATAAGGTGAAAGTTTTATGTTCGATTGCTATGATCATCAATTTTTTTTTAATTTTAATGGCATATGGCAATGTTGTAATGTTAGTCTGTAAACGAATGACATCAAGTACGTAGCGGTTTAGCACACCGCCTTTCATCCGGAAGTGGCTGGTTCAATTCCTCGCTTTATGGAAACAATTTTATTCACGCGAGGAAATAAATTCGTCAAAATCGGTCCAGCCATTTCAGAGATAAGCAGACAGACAGAAAAAAATTGTAAAAAATGTTATTTTGGTGTATTATATTCATATTTATATTTATATGCATGTAGTAAAAAATGGTTCTTTCAATATTACAAACAGACACTCCAATTTTAATTATTGTGAACTAGCTCTGCGCGCGGTTTAACCCGCGTTAAATATAAATAAAAAATATAGCCTATATGTTATTCTGATGCATAAGCTACATTACTGTAAAATTTCATCAGAATCCGCTCAGTAGTTTTTGCGTGAAAGAGTAACAAACATCTATATTTACAAACTTTCGCATTTATAATATTATATATACATATAAAGTGATAACAAAAACGTACTTATATTAACAGAGTGTTCAAAGGTAGTGAAATCCTTGTCCAGGGGTATTAGAGATACTCCCGGTGGTACAGATATTATGGCAGCGGAATGTTCCATCACGGGAGCTGATTCAGATCCTATCATCAGCAGGGACAGAAGAATGTTGTACCTAAAAGTCCAAATTTTTAATGATTTAATTTAATTAATTTACAAAAATATTAATATGTAATCGATCCGTTTGAGTAGAAAAAGAATCATCAAAATGAGTATCTATAGGTAGGATATGAATAGATAATAACGATTCCTTATAAAATGCACAAAAAACTCCGAAATAATTGATCGCGCTACTGGCCATCAACAAGGAATTCATCCCCACACGCTGGAACCTAAATGGTCTCAGAGGACCTTTCTCAGCACTTAGATTGTGGAATGAACTACCTGCCGAGGTTTTCTCCCGGGACTGCATGGGGTTTTAAGAAGGGTACATTAAAGTTTCTGAAGAGTTGGCAACGCGCACGTGACATCCCTGTTGTCTCAGGCATCCATAAGCTACTGTAACCGTTTAACATCAGATGAGCCGTATGCTTGTTCGCCATCATCGTAGTACAAAAACAGTATAAAGAAAGTTTCTTAAATTAAACATACAGTCTTGACAAATAAAACTTACCTGATAAGTATACTTAACATATTGTTAGAACACATAACAAATGTTAGTGTAACACCACGAGTTCCAGCCACTGAAAGTACTGAAACTAAAGGCTGTAAACTTGTACGGTGCAGTTGTGTCGACTAACATTGTTTGTATTCATTCTGAGCTGTTAAAACCACTTTCTACATAATATATTACTTGGCTGTTTAAATTCTTTAATAGTGGTGAGATAAATATATAGTCAAAACGGCGGTCATTCTTTATAGATATTGAAAGTAAATATCGAAAGCGACTCAGGCTTATCAAAAATATTAAGTTCGAAAATCAAATTTTAATTTTGTAAAACTAAAGCCTATTTATTTTTTGTTTAATTGTTAAACTATTGAAACATAAACATATCAGATAATCCATAATACACTATAATAATACTATATATAATAATAATAATAGGTTACATACTATTATTATTTTCGATAGATCAGTTCAGCCGTTCAGTTTTAATTATAAAACTGTCACAAAATTTGCATGCCCATAAATTGGGACAAATAAACAGTTGCCAATAATATTATTACCTGGACATATTTCCAATATCTAACTGTTATATAAAATGAATATAAAAAGAATTTCATTTAATTTCAGCAAATAAAATAGTAATTAAGATATTATGACCACCAAATAAAAACAGTACCTAACACATTTAGTTAAAAGGAAGTGGTATTAGCAACTCATTCGAATACAAGTTTGTAGTTACATGGAAACTTGAAATCTAACACTGTACTTTTGTAACAAGAGCGTTTGTATCTGCTTAAACAATGTACCAGATACTGTTGTAATGGTGAAAAGAATAGCCTTTACTTATGCTTCATTCGGTATATTAACATTCTAACACTTTCATTATTTAACGACCATATTTAGATCTTCGTGGTCACAGTACTATAAAAATACCCTGTACCCTCTAATAAAATACCCTGAATAGTCCAAATACCACTTACCACCACATAAGTCGTCCGCTTGCCATCCTATTTACATATAAAAATTTAAAAGACTTTTTAAAGTTTTTTTATATGTAACTATGCTTTTTATTCTGCATTTAGCACTATTTCGGTATCGAAGTAATTTTCCTTCAATCAATAAGATATAGGCTATCATAGAAAATAGAATTCAACCAGCTAGGTATAGCCTAAACTTTTGGAAATAAGAAAATTCGGCAGTAAATAAAACATTAAAATATGTTAAACTAATAATGTTTACACGTCGACATAAGAAACATTTCTAAGATATAAAAGTTACATGTTCTATAAAAATGTACAAATAATTTATTCTACGATGGTCAGCATTAAACTTATTATTAACCAATTCAAAGAGATTGTGGGCAGCTATCGACTCGAATAAACGCTAGCCTACCTTTTACAAATATCATACAAAAGGATTTGTCTTTATGATATTTCTGTATTATTTAGTAACATACGTAATTTATAACAATAAAAAATTTTATCGATCAGAAACATAAATAGTAGGTTTTAGAAAGAAATTGTTAATGAAACAGTAAGTAATTTCCAAAACATTATGAAAAATTTCTATATAATTTTAATTTTAATAGAGTCATTAATAGAGTCAATTTTCGAATTCGAGGGGCACCCCTGTGGGGCGTAGGCCACGTTGGGAAACACTTTTCTAGACCCTGAGAAAGGACATACATTTTAATGCGAAAAAGGGTTGTAAGGGGTTGAAAGGCGAGATGAAAGGTTGTGAGGCAGTAGGTATACTCGATGGAGTAGTTACACAGATTATTTACGAGTATCTCGGATTATATGTATAATAGTATCGCTTTCACGATAAATTAAGCGGAAATCGGTAAAAAAAAAGAAAATGGAAATATTTAATAGGTACTTTTTATACTACATTGATTACATGACTGTGCTGTATATGGGTTTTATAATTTATATTCAAATAGTCACTTCATTATTCAATTATTAGATAATTGGTTCCGTTCTTAATCGTATACCTTCTGCTTATATTTAAAACCAAACATGTCATAAAGGCTATGGAAATTTCGAATTCGTTTCAAAGATTCTTTCACTATTCGAAATGCACATTATTCTAGCTGAAAAAGCTTTGCGTGATCGCTGCTTTGTTGTAGTAGGTACTAAACATTTACTATTTGCCCCCATTTACTCCATAGGATTCGTGCTATGTAAGTATTTGCTAAAATAAGAAATAATAATATAATGAAAATATAAATACCACGGTTCTATTATTTATTATGGCGATTAATACTCCGATTTATAGATCCCAAGTATTATCTAAGTTATATGTTGATCGGCGTCTAGAACTTTATATACCTACCTATTTATCAACTTAGGTTTCTGATTGAATTGTAAATTTACAATGATGTGATGAAAACATCGATAAACTACCAGTTATTTCCAAAGAATGGACAATTGACAATACCTCTGTCTACTCCATCTAGGTTTATAGTTGTGAATATAATAATATTGTTTTTCATAATTAACATAATTTTTTTTTCATTGCAGGTTTAGTGAAATTGGGTGTCCACTGCGTGACCGGCAAGAAGGTGGCAATAAAAATCATAAATAGAGAAAAACTTAGTGAATCCGTTTTAATGAAGGTAAAATAGTTTACATCTGTTGCTTAATTATTGTCTTACTATACTGATTAATTACTAACAATAATAATAAAGAAAAATAAACATATCTTTATCATTTGCCCGATAGATGGCGTTGTCTGTTATATCGCATCTTGTGGTCCTTCTTGGGACTTTTTATACTATGATGGTGGTAAACAAGCATATTACATTATTATTATTTGTATTATTACTTAAATTATTCGATTTTTCATAGTTAATTTATTAATTATCTACTTCATTAATAATGAACATGTAAATAATTTTTAAACCTAAACTGTGTCGCTTTAATACTATATATTCACCTACTTGATAACAGATGTCGCTGTTCGGTGTAAATTTTCTAATTAATATTTTTTTTTCTACAGGTTGAAAGAGAAATAGCCATTATGAAATTGATAGAACACCCACACGTATTAGGATTGTCCGATGTATATGAAAATAAGAAATACTTGTGAGTATAGAAACATAAGTTCAGTAGGTACACATTTTTTTAAAAAAGATAGATTAGTAGCTGGTTGCAAATTCAATACCAGTCTTTCTAACACAGTATAAGACGTTTTGAGAATGGAAATAGCTTTTAAATATTCTTTTGTCGTTGTAATGGTAAACAGTCAGACAATCCACCATTGATGACGGTTATCATGTAATAAGTGGTAACCGTCGCCGATATACATGAAGAGATCATCAGGCGGTCATCATGATTATATGAGAAGTAGTCCGGGGTGGTACGGGTTACTTCTTTGGTATTGCCAGAAGACTAAGATGTCATGCGTGTGTCCCATGTAATTTCACTGCCTTACCTCACCCTTTAACAGAAACTTTTTAAAAGTAAATTTGATGGCGGCTAAAAGTCTGGGTAATTAAAAATATGTTTTTTATATATATTATACTATTTTTCAGATATTTAGTGTTAGAACATGTCAGCGGCGGTGAACTATTTGACTATTTAGTAAAAAAAGGGAGACTTACGCCGAAGGAGGCGCGGAGATTCTTCAGGCAAATAATTTCTGCGCTAGATTTCTGTCATAGTCACTCTATATGGTGAGTTATACATATATTATACACTAAAGTTTACACGTAGAATAAATACTAAAGTAACTCTACCATACATCTACTGATTTACACGATTATTTCTCATGACAATGTGTATCGGTTTATCGATTTTGGTGATGGGTACTTATTTTTTTTTGTATAAGATTACTGTTAATGTTAAATCATCCATTAAATAATTTAATATAATATCCCTAGACAATTCACACAGCGCCATCTAGTCCCAAGTCAAGCAGAGCTTGTCATGTATATTAGACAACCGTCAGATATCTTATATACGTTTTGTTGTAAATAAATACATAATATATATAAAAAACGTCCCAAACAATCATAAAAGTCTTCTATCTCAAGTTTATCTCAGAATTTTCTATTTTGAAAATAATATTTAAGTACTGAAATTATTGTATTTCTGAATCTATGAACAGATTCAGAAATAATTTCATTAATAGTTCACAATTACTATCGAATATATATGTAGGTGCGAATTAATTTTTATTACGAAGAGAATGCACATTATGTTTAATGGCTATGTAATTAAGTTAATATTTCTCGCATCAGAAAAATTTAGCTTTTGAAGGATGCTTTATTGTAGTAAAATAATGGTCCATTTTTTTACTTTAGCCACCGAGACTTAAAGCCAGAGAATCTTTTATTGGATGAGCGGAATAATATCAAAATAGCGGACTTCGGCATGGCGTCCCTCCAACCAGCTGGATCTCTACTTGAAACGTCCTGCGGTAGTCCACATTACGCCTGCCCCGAGGTCATAAGGGTAAGTTTTGAAGATAGTAGCTTCCAATGCACTATTATGTAAAACTATGTTTTTTTAAATGTTTGTTAAAGATCGAATTTGTGTTATATCTGTTATGTTATTTATTATTGTGAAAATTTATTTATTTATTTATTGTTATTATGTAATATTACGTTATCTGTGTTGTTATAGAACAATACGAATTATAGTATCTTCTATAGATATGTCTATATGTAAATGTTTTATTTTACAAAATATTTAATTACGTGTCACTATAGAAGTATAGACCTATTAGTTCGTAGCTCTAAGTATAAACCACAGATAAAATATCTTTTATATATATCAAACCTTTATTACCCAAAATTTTGACTGTGTTTATCAAAGTCAACGAAAAAATACTTCTTTATTCATACTGTAGATAGTCCAAGGTGTAGGTCCTGTTTAGCACAGATAATATAATATTACATATGCTTGGCTAGTCATATACTGATAAAATATACAACAGTATTTTATGTGTGGCACTTGTTATGATATAAAAAAGAAACATTATAAAGAAACATTTAATTAAGTACAAAAACATATAAGAACTTATAATAAAGATGACGTGTTAAACCTGCAACTTTTAAGTAATAAAAGTTTGTTATATTAGAAAATGAATTGATGTCATGTATACAAGTTTGTATAGTAGAAAAAACATTAATCTTCACCAATTACTATTCTTTGCTTTTTACTAGCGTTTGATGGTGTTTGTGGGGGAGAGTGTGTCGTTTCACGCCTCTTGCCTGAATGGCGAGCACACGAGGGCCCTGAAATATTGTTTGATTGATTTGATTCTCTGGTAGGAGAAAACTGTTTGAGCATTTCAACATCACTGAATATAACTTGTGCTCCACCACCACAAGTGGGGACAACATCACCTTTATAAAGTTTAGTCTCCAACTCCCCATCTGTATCTTGCTCTTGTGATATTAAGCAGTACTTAGATGTTTTCGAATTAGCGATATCCTTTACACTTTTCAGTTTGTTAACAACTTTGCTGTTGACTATACTAGGTTTCATGACTGTACCCATTGGAACGATCTTACTAGGGGTATGTTCAACCCAACCACGACCATCAGCAGACAATGATCGTCTATGCCTAGGATTAGCAACAGCAATACCACGACGTGAGGAACCTGGAGTTTCTTTATTCTGAGCTAAACTGAAAGGTGTCAACATATGAGCTGGCAGAGCTCTTGGTGTTGATCCTGGTGTAAAGTCCCTGTATGTTTCAGCTGCCACATCCCCAGTGCTTCTTGGGTAGTCAATATTGTCACCTCCCTCATTACCACTTTTCAAAGCCTGACCAATCACCTTAAAAATCTTTTCATGTTCCTTCTTAGTACTTTTTAATCTCTCATTTTCAGTATGTATCTCCCTAGCTTTTTCATGTTCAGCTGCAATTTTATTATTATATTTGCGTTCCAAAATCTTCTTCTGCTTTTCTTTCTCTAATTTATTCTGATTTAAAAGCAGATCTTTTTCCTGCAATTCTCTTTTTAATTGTGAGGTATATTCTGTAATCTCAGTCAGCTTTCTTTGATTTATTGCTGATGTATTTTCAGTTGTTGTTATTCGGTCCTCCAATGCTCTTATCCTTTGGTCTGCAGTACTCAACTGTCCACGCAAAGACATATTCTCACTTTTCAACTCCATCAACTCTTTTTCTAGTTCCAACAAAGAAGACCTAAATCTTTCATCTTTTAATGCCTTAATTCTTTTCAATTGTTCTCTTCTATTAATTCTCATCTCTAAATGAGCCATTAATTCCTTAGTAATATGTGCAGCTTGGGAGCTGTTCAGTTCTAAACTAGGAAAATCTGGACCTAGACTGTACACTAAACCTAAATCTAATTCCAGATCTTTAGCTTCAGGCCTGGCCAAATTTTCCTTTGCAGCATTAAATAATCTATTAGCTTTGCGCCTACCAGTCATAAGACCAATAGTTGCACCAATATCTGTGATTTGAGGCTTAGCAACTTCTACCTCTGCCGCTATTTCAGCAAACCTCATAACTTGGAGTGTCTCGTCATAATCTTCAGCTCTTGGATTGGCACAAACAATCATACGGACTTGACCTTCACCTTCAAAGAAGTTTTTGAACAAAAAAGTCAACTTAGATTCTCTGTATGGCACAATGTTATTTGCAGCACCAATCTGATTTTCTCTCAATGCTTCAAGGCATGATCTTAGTGTCATTAAAGATTTATTTATATTACCTGTTTCCCTCAATCTCTGTCCAGTATTTTTTGTCCTGTTTGTTCGTTCACTGCCAGCTAAATCAACTAAACTTAGTTGGCTGATCGACAGGAATTTCTTATTTTGTATCACAGCTTCACCTTCTGCGTCTACTGGTGCCTGCACTAGTCTGATTGTGAAGACTGAATGGCTTCTACTAGATTCCGCATTTAAACTAGTGTGAGCTATTCTTTTTCGTTTCAAACCAAGATAGAAAGCATCAAAAGCTTCTTCAGCAGACTTTATTTCGATTTCGGTGACACCATGTACATATGTGTTGCGAGCTCCATCTTCTCTGATCAGTTTTGCAGATGGAGTTTTACTCGGTGGGCCGTCTTCTAATAAATCAAAGACACTATTGTTGTAAACCTCAACATATGACACAAATACTGCATATTGATTGTCTTCATTGAGGCCCTCAATTTTTGTGACATCTCTTGACGACATAGCCAAGTCTGGGTTTGAGTGATTTTTTTTACCAGTTTTAAATTTGTGTAACTCCTGTTGTCTTTCCAACATGGCTTCTGCCTCAGTTTGTATATCGAACATGTTCATTTTGTCTGGTTTAAACACGTATTTGTGTGCTTGACAGTCATTAATCGTTTTAAAAATAATATTAAGACATCTGGGTAGTACGCCGCAGTTGTTTGACTCCCCTGTCATCGTAAATGTCTTCCCACTGCCTGTTACACCGTAGGTAAATAGTAAACCATTTTTACCTTTGACTAAACCTTCGACTAATGACAAGGCTACCTTATCAAACACTTCCTGTTGCGAGGTTTCTGGAGGAAAAACTTCCCTGAAAGTATATTTCATAGTTTTGCTATTTTCATTTCTGTAACTCAACGCGGTTGATGGTGGAGACATTAGAACTGTAGTAGGGGATATTATCTTTACACAAGGCACATCAGCATCTCTTTGCATGGGTCGAAGACGGCAAAACACGTAGACGGGGTCACGATCGCCAGTAAGCAAATTCTGCTTACTTCGAGCTGGTGTACGCATTTCGTTCAGTCTCTGTTTAGATTTAGCGGACTTCATTATAACTTAGATTTTAAGACAATTCTACTATAACTGTAGTACAAAGTATATTTTTCACAAATATACCAAAAAAAGATTGGGTAAACGAAATTATTTTTAAAGTAACCATCAACAGACACCAACGGTCACCGGTAACATAACGTATTTAAATTATTAAAATTAAGAACGGGTAGTAGAGCAGTATGATATCTCTTTTTATTCCTTAGCTTTTTAAATGAGTAGACTGCGACAGAGGATATAAATATGTGACTCTTAAATTTGGTTAGGTTTTAGTCGTACTGTCAAACTTTAAAGCTGTCATATCAACCAAACCTGTGTCAATTGGAAAAAAATATTACCATATATTATTTTTCATTTACCTACAAAATTATTTACGACTAAGAAATAAAATTAGCACCTTATAAAAAAAAAGAAGAAAATACATATATTTAATTTCTTCGCTTAGTGAATAAAGTGTAAGCTAGTTAGTAGTTCATTATGTTTTAGTGCAGGTGATCGTATATTTCGATAAGATGAATAATTGCAATGAAACTATTGATACAGTTATAACAAAAAGTTACAACATTAATTTAAAATAAATGTTTAAAGAAGCAAAGCAGTAATAGTTAACCTATTTGATTTTTTTAAACCAAGATACAAGCTGAATAAATTACTTGGGTATTCAGTTTAGTTCCAATTATAATTGCAGATAACTAACTTTAAAATTTTAAATAACTTTCTAAAGATTTCTATATTTTTCTTTTGACTGTAACAATAATGTGAATCTAATTACTCAAAACATAATGTATTACAAATAAAAAACCTTTATTATGCCAAATTAAATTACCTTAAATTATGGTAATGGAGGACGAGTTGGTGGCAACTGTAAATTTGACATTGACATTGGACAGCCAACGTAATTAAATTTAAAAAATGTAAACAAATAATAAACGTCTAGTTTGATTTAAGTAAAGTGATCTAAATCGGCAATTATAATGAAATGTTTTAATATTTTTAGGGGGAAAAATATGACGGTCGCAGGGCGGACGTGTGGTCCTGTGGGGTCATACTATATGCACTTCTCGTCGGAGCTTTACCCTTTGACGACGACAATTTGCGTCAATTACTCGAAAAGGTAAATATATAGTACATAATAAAATTATTTCACTGTTATTAACATTTTAAATTAAAATTTTTAATAATATTTAATTTTCATCCAAGGTGAAGCGTGGTATGTTCCATGTACCACACTTCGTGCCGCCAGATTGTCAACAGTTGCTTCGAGGAATGATCGAAGTTAATCCAGAAAAGAGAATGACGGTAATGTTATATTTTATTTATAAATCCTTTGAAAAGTCTTTTGTAGTACTAATGGTAATAATGATATATATAATATGGTAATAAATTTCCTTGTATACATATCAACTCCATGTATAACAATCGGTTTCTGAATAGAATAGAAACTCCTTTATTCAAATAAACTTAATTTATGCACTTTTGAATAGACATAAATGGTTTATAAACTCAGAATGCATAAATAACACCAACTTTCCAAGCAGGTTAGCTGCGGTCACTAGGAAACTATAATTTTCTGGATTTAACAGATACCTTGCTAGTCTTAGTTGATTTTTTATTCTTGCATAATAATGCTTAATAATGCCACTTACAGATTCTCAGATAAATTCTTCAGATCAGTACATAGATAAAAGTTTATCACTAAATTAAAAATATAGTGATAAACTTGGTAATTTTGAGATATATCAGTTAGTCTCAGTGACTGAAGTTGCTATTTATTGTGTAGTTGGCAGAAATCACTCGGCATCCATGGGTGACTGCGGGTGGCCGAGGAGAGCTGGAACAAGAGCTGCCCATGATGGAGGTTGTACAAACAAGGGTCCTACCATCTGCTGAGGCTATAGACCCTGATGTCTTGCAGGTAATGTGTGTTAATATTACATAATGCTATATAATATAATATAGAGAGATGGAGGGCCAATAAAAATGACTGTCCATTGAGGGTCTAATTAATTTATTATTGCATCACTTTTTCATTAATTTATTTTTTACAAATCTGTTAACATCAACTCAATATTGGTAGTAGATAGATGCAGTGCATGTTTATAAGAGAAGAAGAGAAAATAATTTGTTTGTAAAATCATTTTGGATTACACAAAAACACAAATAATATTTTAGAAAAATAAAGTTAAATTCCATGCAGACGAAGTCACAGGTGCAGCTAGTAATTAAAATGGACATACTACTATTTTGAATATTTTTTTTTCAGGCTATATGCAGTTTAGGTTGTTTTAAACAACGCGACAAATTAATACAGGAGCTACTTAGTCCACAGTAAGTGTATATATTCATTAATGTATGAATACATTTGTATTTTTATTTATTTTTCTTTGAGAACAAAAAGAGCATAATATATGAAAAAAATATTTTTTTGTACCTTGTCACAATAATACTTGACACAGTGTATTCATATATTCTGGAGATGTAGAAATCAATATAGATAATGTTGACAAAACGGTCTTAAAGTTATAAAATATACATATATGTAGTTACAAGAGTATGAGATAACTTTCCAAATATGTTTATGACCTTACATATATCCTTTACTTACTCAAATAATTTAAATTACTTATGTATTAATTTTAATATACCTATATGTATAAAGAGGGATTTGATACTTTTTTACTCTTTACTATATATATATATAAAACTCTCTAGTTTAATGCACTGGTGCTTTACTACCCAAGTCATTTATATTATTATTACACACAGAAGGTCCTGAGTTTAAAAACAAATCAACATTAATACATACTTTTTGGACTAACTCTCAGGTGTAGAAAACATGGAAAACAAAACAAAGTGTTCTATTCACCACAACATTGATAATTGACGCATTGTCAACTACTCCATCCATTGTAACAATTGTGACTGTGTGATGGTTTTGTTTGTTTTCTATATTAAAAATAATGTGAATCTGTTACAGCCACAACACAGAGAAGGTGATATACTTTTTGCTGCTGGAGCGAAAGAGACGGCGGCCGGCGCGGGATGACGAACCCAGGCCACTCGCCGTCGCCGCACCCGATGCACCGCGCAAACGGCTCGATACATGCCGGGTCAGTAGTCAAGTGTATAATACGCGCTATTTCATCGGCTCTCGACTCAAATCAGAGCAGTGTGCCTACATGTACTTAGGGGCGCGCCGACCCCATACAGCGACTGGGTGCGAAACCTATCCTAAAAGTTGGTGTTGCTATTTGCTACAGTTTATGCTATTGAAATGAATTCATTAAATATAGAATATAATAAAATCATAAATGTCTTTAATAGATGGCATATGGTCTGAAATAGGTTTTGCTTGCTTTGTTGGCTTCAACTAAAGAAAATTGGATGGCGGCCCGCGGCGCCCCTATTCCTTGGCGTCTGTGTGCGCCGTACACTTCGCACACAGGGGCGGTGCGGCCGTGCATGTACTTGTAATATTTCTGTCAACACTCGGCACTTTTCCATTTGTTTACGTCTCAATATAGCTTAGATTTAACTTCAGTATAGTATAGTCAGTTACTGAAATCGCTGGCGGAATTAAAAAAAAATTTAAAAATGACTTAATCCTTACTAATATTATAAATGCGAAAGTAACTCTGTCTGTCTGTCTGTCTGTCTGTCTCGCTTTCACGCCAAAACTACTGAACTGATTTAAATGAAATTTGGTACCCATATAGTCTAGACGCCGAGGAAGGACATAGGCTACTTTTTAATGTGAAAAAAGGGTTGTAAGGGGTTGAAAATGGTAATGCAAGGTTATCTTTATGCGGTTGAATACACATTTATTATAATAATGGCTTAACTAAAAAATTAGATATTTTGGAAAGTCTACTTCATAATTGTGTCATTAAGTCTATTTTCAAAAATTTTTAATTTCTGAATTACACCAGTATTGTACTAGATATGCGACTTAGTAACGCTCATATGTCATAAATAAACATATATGTCATTTGAATAAGCAGCGCGCGCAACTGATTATTGTCAATCCGTTGTCTCCTTATGAATTTAAATGAATAAACGTTTGCTCTGCAATTTTATTTTATAAATACATAAATATAATCCTGGTATAGCCTATAACTGATGACCCTGCTCTTGGACAAGAGCGTAAGAATATATTATTAATATTTTTGAAGAATAAAACAACATATAATATTAAAAATGTTGTCAATACATATGAACAACATTTCCTTGGAAGAAACAACATCTACCGTTCCATCCGAGCTATTCAGGTTCGAAATACGCGTTTCTCCATTCTGGCCAGTAGAGTCAGAGATATGGTTCGCGCAAGTAGAGGGATAGTTTGCAATTTAGAATATCACATCTATTATTTTGATTTAACAAAATTTTATTATGTTATTGGCCAACTGGACCACCAATTTTCAAAAGAATTTAAAGAAATGTTTAACCTGTTTATTAAATATAAATAAATATGACATTTAAATTTGTAAATATCACATTGTCACCATTCAAGGGGTAAAATAAAATAGCAGATAAAAGTTTTTATGGAAATTCGTCATATTTATATGAAGCTTTTTTCTTACGCTTTTTTGGGTCAGTTTATTTAATAAATACCTTACTAATATTATGAAAGTGAAAGTGACTCTGTCTGTCTGTCTTAAAAGCCAAAACTTCTGAACTGATTTAAATGAAATTTAAAGTCTAGATCTTGAGATAGGACATAGGTTACTTTTTAATGCTAAAAAGGGTTATAAGAGACTGAAAAAGGAATTTTTTTAAAGTTTAAGCTTCAATCTTATTTTTTTGCGTATTGATTAAATATAATTAACGAAAATGGGTTGTAAGGGTCAAAAGGGGAATTAAAATATTGTATGGATGTATTGTCATTTTTTAAAGCTAGAAACTTGAAACCCATTTTTTAGGCTGTTGAGAAAATATCAGTACCTATCGCCACAGGACTCAGCCATAAATGGTTACAGTATAGCGACATCTTATCATTGGTACATGATGACACTAATATAAGTAGCATTAAAAAAAACAAGAAAAAGGGTTATAAGGGGTTGAAAGGGGAGATGTAATGTATGTATGGTATGTATGGAAGTATCTTCATTTTAAAGATAGTAGTTTGAAACTTAGTTTTTGGCTGGTGATTGAATTGTATGGAATTATGTATGGAAATTTCATTTTTGAAGCTAGAACGATGAAACTTTTTTATTGGGTTAGATTATTAATACATATTTTTTATTATTTGCTCAAGGTCACTATTTTACGCGGACGAAGTCGCGGGTACAGCTAGTCTTATATATAAAATTCTCGTGTCACAATGTTAGTTAATATACTCCTCTGAAACGTTTTGACAGATGTTTGTGACATTTTATAGGCATATTCAGTAAGTCTGAGAATCGGCTACTATCTATTTTTCATACCGCTAAGTGATAAGGGTTGTCCATCCCTAATTTTTGTTCTGGACAATTTTTTTTATAATGTAACATTAACAATACATACAACCCTATCTTTCTATCCCTATTTACCCTTCTACCATCAACCCTCTTTTTTAATAGCGATTTTAATTTACATTGCAATAGTTACTATAAAATAGGCTAGTTTACTATAAAATTAATCACTACAACAAACGGTGTGTCTTGTGATCGATATTTGATCAAGAACTGCATTTATATATATTTAAGTAAAGGTAATGAGTACATAGTGCCAGTTGGAGTGCTGACTCGATCACAGGTTTTTCCACCACCATTTGGTGGTAATATTTTGGTACCACCTTCCTGCGTCACTTGTTGGTTGGTCTGGTCCGCTTGCCGTTGCCTTATATAAATATGTGTCGCATTGCATCTTATGGTTTTATTTTTTGACAGCCTTTGTGGTCTAGTGGTATATCGCTTTATTATGTGATGGTCGTGGGTTCGACTCCTCGCACGGTTCAAACATTTGTATTCACGAGTATGATTGTTTGTATCGGTCTGGGTGTTATTTATGTATAATATGTATTTATTTACAAAAAATCCATATATTTATATCAGTCGTCTAATACCCATAACACAAGCTCTGCTTAGGACTAGATGAAAACACAGCACTGTGTGAATTGTCCTAAGATTTATTATTATTATTAGTATAACAAGTCACTGAACATTACGACTCCGCGTTGAGTGGATTACACGGAAATATATTTATGTGTATCTTGTTGTTATTATTACATTATATTTAATAAATATATCTATTCCAATTAGGTAAATGGTCAGTCTGCACACTTCGGCCAGATCAGCGAGGGTTCGCCCATTACACCAAGGAGATCACAGTTTAGGTACAAAAATAATTTTGTTATTTGTATTACTTATATTTTTTTTACAAAATCTTTCTTCAAAACAATATGTTTTCACAACAGCTCTATAAGTGACCATTATGAATTATAGCGAATATGTCTTCTAATATTAAAAACACGCAGGCTGATTATGTGATGTAGTTGTAATCCTTACTTATACAATAAACGCGACGGTGTCTGTCTATTTGTTACATTTTAACGACTAACGACTGAACCGATATTTATCAAATTTTATATGACGATAGATTGTATAGTGAACACATAGTCTAATTCATAGAAGTGAAGTCGAAATAGTGATTTATAGTCATTATTGCAATGTCTGACTATTTCAAATATTAATCTTAGACTTAGTAAAAACAAAAGAACACAATCGAATTAAGAATCACTTCTTTATTTAATAAGGTTGAAAATTGAAAAAGTAGTATATCTTCGGATTACTCTACTGCTGTTGGCCGCAGTTGGCCTTTACAGCTTTGCCGGATAATAGGGGGCGAGTGCAAATGGCACTACAAGTCCTCGGAAGGACTTATGGAGCGGCTGAAGGCCAACTCTTGCCTGATGGATACGATTTTAGTCTGAGGGCACCACTAGGGGTTCGTACCTCGGCTCAGGTCATCGTAACGTTAGCGTGGTAGTGTGCGGTTGTAATATAATGAGATTGAGGGCAGGTTTGGTCGCAGCAGGTCAGCTTCAGGCCGCCGCCCGGAGGGGCGGAGCTCGCCGCAGCTACCGGCCAGTCCGCCAGGTCAGTACCAAAACTTCTACTCTATACTCTAATCTGAATATAGATTTTTAGAATAGAATACAAAATTCTATAGTAAATTAAAGTTAAATTTAAGCACTTTTGAATAGTCATAGTTATTTTTGAATTTACAACTCATACGGAACGCTGTCTCATAACAAGAAGAACGGGCTAGAAATATGCGTTTTCTTTTAACTTTACATTTTTAAGTTGAAACGTCTCGAAAAAAACTAGCATATTGCACTAATTTATTAGAGTAAGTATTAATACACAACAAACTGATTGACTAACTAAATAAGAGTAAATTATTCTTAATGATTAGAGCAGACCAGTACCGCTACAAGCAGCACTCGTTCACGGGTATGACGGATGAGCCAGCCAACTGTACTCGACCATATTTCAGCACAATGATTTCAATTCAAATAAATTTTCAAAATGTAGGTCCGCCCTGTAGATGATGTAGGGCTGGCCCCATCGTGTTAAGGGCGACCTATTTCACTCTACTCCGTTGTGACTATCATAGCCATGAGTTTAAAAGTAATCGACTCCGTCTGCATTAACAGTATAGTTCCTCTTGTTGCTCTTCTATTAGAAGATTGTATTTTTAGTGAAAATGTTAACAAATTCTATTAATATTTGTAACTTAAAATAAACAGTTATATTTCTTTTTATAATATATAAATTACTACAGCGGGTCTTCTATTTTTAATGTATGAATGTAGTATGTTACACCCACCTTCGTTAACAGCATACATTGGCTGGACACCAGTAGTGGATGATAGAGCAAGAGGAGCATGAAGTGAGACCAGTCGCGAATTCAAATCGATGGTTTCCAGGGGAGACTTCGTGGATCTCAACTTGACATAGAATATTTCTAGCAATAAGTCCTCATTATTAATCATACTAATAATCTCTTTACTGTTACAGCGGGTCACACGCCACATCGAGTGTCGTCTCTTGGAGGAACGCCCGCTACACCTGGGTCTCCTTTGGGTATGTACCATATCTATTCACTTATCAAGCTATACAAATTTTGACGAACTTCTTAGCAATCCATGGATTCACGATACGGGTGCCGGGCCACCCTGTGGAAGAGATGTAAATTCCGAGCAGTTCCCGGGACTTGTGACCCGGGTGTTGGTTTAAGGAGCCCCTTTACCGACGGTTATGGAATTCTTTAACTTAATGTCTGCTCTTTGAAATTTAAAATGCTATCTTGGCATCGTTTTCAGTCGAGATAGGTATTTTATAGTCTGCGCGGATACCTCACTTTCATTTACTTGTTTTCGGTTTTACCATGTAGTTAGACATTGAAATTACAGTATAAGAGGCATGACACTTTTACAATGGTATATTATTTTTATTGAGGGTTTTGGGCTATTGTCAGGTGCTAACCTACAGCACTGCGACCTGCATAGATCTATTGTGCTCGCCCTTTTTTCAAAGTTTGTGTATGGTTATATTAACGCACTAATTGTATTATGGGTGTCACATGATAACGTAATGTTTATGTATGTAGGCGTCGTCATCGTCAGATGGGTCGTCATCGTATTTGGCATTCCAATTACATAAAAAAAATACAAATATCTTTGTTAATCTATACATATATATAAAAATGGAGTGTCTGTTTGTAATATTGAAATAACCGTTTTGTACTACATGAATATGAATATAAATCCGGTAAATACACCAAAATAACATTTTTTACAATTTTTGTCTGCCTGTCTGTTTGTTCCATCTCATCTCTGAATTGGCTGGACTAATTTTGACGGGACTTTTATTGGCAGGTAGCTGATATAATAAGGAGTAACTTGACTACTTTATTTCAGAAAAATACTTTAATTTAGAAAAAAGAAAGTTAAACTCCACGTAGACAAAGTCGCGAGTACAGCTAGTAATAAATAAATTTTTCCCCAGCTTCGCCGTCCGTTCGAGAACATCATCATCAGAGGGCTAATTCTACGGGACCCACCATCAGCCTTAATATAAGTGAGTTAAAAGCTTATATGGAATATTAACTGGACTAGCACTCCTGCTCTTGATATTAAACTTCAAAATTCATACGTTACAGGCGGAGAACCAGGTGAAGCGGTGATTATAATAAATGAATCACCAATAATGGGGTCCTCAGTTGCCGTAAGACCTCATAGTCCGTCGCAATCACACAGAGGTATATATTTTTGAATGGATGATAGAAATTGTGAACCCTTTATATAAATTCTATTATAGGTAAAGCCTTTAAAGGGAAATATTTGCCTTATTTTGGGTACATAAAATAAAATTCGAAACCGATTGTTTGTGTGAAGCTTCCATATAAATACGGCAGATTTAGGACGAAATTTTCATGGAATATATTATGAAATAAAAATACAGCCAAAGGGATGAAATAATTAATTTTATTAGTAGTATTAATACGCCATCTATAAATGTGACAGTTACTGTGAATTAGTTTATTAATATTATAACAGATGGCGTCATATAGATGGCGATCTATATGTACTTGCGTGGCACCACTAGTTTTAGAATGTATTATCGATAGCCGCTGTGGTCTAGCAGTATAGCACACCACCTTATTTACAATGAATACGGGTTAGATATGGCACACGGTGCAAACATTTGTATTCATGACAGTCAAACAGTTATACCTGTTTGTATTTATTGGTCTAGGCGTATTCTATGTATATTGTGTATGCAATTGAAAAAAAAGTTATTTAAGTATCTTAACACTTGTGTAGTAAACATAGTACAAGCTCTATGGTTAGGTTGGTACTAGATGGCACTGTGTAAGTAGTCCATGGTTATTGTTATTATTGTTTTTTTCAGTGAGAGAAAGGTCATCGTTACCCGGTCCGCCGAGTTCGCAAACGTCAGCGCAACCAGCCCTCTTCCCCAATTTGGGGACTATGACAGGTTATATTTTTTTTCAATTTATTTAGTGTTCTCACAATTAGGGTTGAGCAAAAACATTGTGCCACTTTTTACGAAAATTGCTCGGACGTAGAAGTATGTAATTTCGCACACTTATATAGTTAATATAGAGAAACCGTGCAGAAAGCTATTATTAAAATAATAATAAAACATTATACATACTACTATGTATTTGACACAAAAACAAGAAGCTTAAAAGTTTATTCTTTGACAATCAATTCCGGCTCGAAGGACCAGATGATATGTACTGATGATGTCTTAAGTCTATTGACATCGGTAAAAATAATCTATTGTAGGGTGTATAAATTAATGATTTTAATAGCTTTTCTTGTATTTAATTGGTTAATATAATATAGATTACAAAATTTTATGAGTGAACAAAAAGTATTTCGATTTTGAAACTTTATATAACGTATGTATAGAGATAATTAAATAGATAGGTGTGCACTCCGCTCACAAGTTACTTAGGTGTTGCATTTTGTTGCTGCTTCAGGAACCGTTAATCATTTTCAAACTTGTAGTTTATTATTTATGAGTTAGTTTCGAGCACTATACGACCGTATCATGTAAATGCAGGCGTGCCCCCGGGCGGGGGCGGGGGCGGGGGCGCGGGCGGGGCGGGGGCGGCGGCCCCGTGGCGCGTGCGGCTGGCCACCATCAAGAACTCCTTCCTCGGATCGCCGCGCTTCCATCGAAGGAAACTACAAGGTCAGAATGCAACTGTTCTATTACACTTTCAGCAGTCAAATCATCAAAATATCCCTATTTCTTGTAGGTCTATTACAGACTCTTATGATATGTCAAATCTACCGTCAGTTCGGAGTGCTTTCGAACTGAGAAGAACTTTTCGAACATGTAAACATGTACTTTTCGAAAGTACATGTTTACAAAAATACAGATTCATTTTTAAATTTAACTTAGGACCACCAGCATATGCAAAGCAAATTGGTCAAAAAGAAATAGTCTTCTAAATAATGTGCTATGTTCTTTTCTAAAAAGTTTCCAAATAATTATTCAATATGTTTAGATTTTTGTAGTTTTAATTTTGTTGCATTATTTTGAGACAATATACCAAGAAATAAATAAACGAATTAACAAGGGAATAGACCTTACGTCTATGGTCAAATAAAACATCAGATATGGTTAATGTCGGTTAAAATAGTCACGCAATTACAATCGCGGCCAAAAGTTAGTATTTATACATATGTACTAATGTTCATACATTTGTATAAAATTTCAACGCGTTCTCCACAGCATCGTCAGAAGAGGTCCACCTGACTCCAGAATCGTCACCAGAATTAACAAAACGGTCTTGGTTTGGCTCGCTGCTATTGTCAGCTGATAAGGAAGAAACTTTCACTGCTTTGGTGAAGGGGAAACCATTGGCCACCGTCAAAGCGGACCTAATACATGCATTTCTTAGTGTAAGTATTTTATACTTATAGATATGACAATTCGATGTAATATATTCGTCGTTTTTAAACTTTTTATTGTGGTATTGACTGAGGTAATTTTTGTAAAAAGTCTGTTTTAGTGTTATCATTAGTCATGCGTCAGTATTTTTTATATCAGCTGCCGTGCTGCTTGATTTGTAAGTCGCGTTTCGGTTGAAATGTGAGACAAACAAGTGAAATTACAAAATTTTATAAATTGTATATATAGTTTTATAATTTAAATAAATCGTTGTTTAATCAAGTCTATTTTAAATTGCATAACTATATACAATCTTATTTATTTATATTATAAACGCGAAAGTATGAAAGGACGTTTGTTACTCTTTCACACAAAAACTACAGAACAGATTTTTATGAATCTTTACAATAATATAGTTTATATATTAGAATAACACATAGGCTATAAATCATGCGGGTGAAAACAGCACAGCCAGTATATGATAATAATAATAACATGATTTATTTATTTCTCGACACAAACATGATGGCAACAATACATGTACTTTTAGTAGTTGTATGGTATATGTTATGTAACTAGGTGGCGCTGTATGATATGACCGGAATCATTCATTCGTTCACAGATAGCGGAGCTCTCCCACAGTGTGCTGAGTCCGATGTCATTTCGAGTAGAGTACAAACGCGGGTCGAATGCACCCGCTATGTTCCAACGACACGTCCGCTTCCAGGTGCGTACACCGATACGATACAACGCACACGCAGTTATTATTTTTTTTATTAAACATGTCCACTTGTGCTTTTTAAAAGAGTTATAAGATCATACATCTAAATAGTCCGCGAGCTAGAGCCTATATAGATCAGCAAGTGCTGAGTCCGACTAACGATCGGTTGTCTTAGTTAACTGCGAGGAGTGATCGACGGAAAATCTGCCTGAGAACTGTACCCGTTCAGTGATTATAGTTTTAGAGTACTTTAGAATAGTATTATTAATTATCTATAATCACCAATTAAAATCTGATTATTATTTTTATTGATTTATTATTAAACATCTTCATTGATATATTCAACGCCTATCTGCAAAGACGGATCAAGACACGCCTATTGATGCGTCAAATTAATTACATAATAATATTTTCGTTTGGTTTCCAGGTTGATATATCGACAATTACAAAGGCGCCCGGCGAGAATGGGAAAGAATATTTATATGCAATCACTTTCACGTTATTGTCAGGTAAATCATAAATTACAGTACAGGATGACTCTCTGTTCTCGAAAGAAACTGTTCAAACCTTAAGAAGTTTTGAATCGCCTTACTGTTTCGGGCATGAATAAAATGTGTATGATGTAGTGCTAGAATGGGCGATGATTATGAGTATTTCAGACGACCGTTTTCCAGATATCCGATAACGATAGCACGATAAAACTGCTGTGTTCTTATGTATCGTCGTTACTTAATAACTGGACGCTTGGAACCAGTTAACGTCGTAGCGGGTAACGTAACGTAAAAACTGTTAAAATGTGGTTTCCCGCTATGGTTAAGTACACGATCAGACTGCAAACTAGCATTACTCAATCATACAAATCAATACAATTCGTTGATCAGAAAAAGAGTGACGTCTGGCCGAGTTAGCATCTCGGTGTGTACCTTTTTTCGGCCTTTACCGATTTTCGATAACGTGTGTGTGACGCAGGCAACATCCGGCGGTTCCGGCGCGTGTGCGAGGTGGTGCAGGCGGCAGTGTGTCGCGCGCCCGGCGCCGGCCGCGCCCCCGCCCTGCCCCCGCACCCCCCGCCCGAGCCCCGCGCGCAGCGCCGCGCCCTGCACCCGCACGGTGAGTGTCCGCCCCCGCCCTGCCCCCGCACCCCCCGCCCGAGCCCCGCGCGCAGCGCCGCGCCCTGCACCCGCACGGTGAGTGTCCGCCCCCGCCCTGCCCCCGCACCCCCGCCCGAGCCCCGCGCGCAGCGCCGCGCCCTGCACCCGCACGGTGAGTGTCCGCCCCCGCCCTGCCCCCGCACCCCCCGCCCGAGCCCCGCGCGCAGCGCCGCGCCCTGCACCCGCACGGTGAGTGTCCGCCCCCGCCCTGCCCCCGCACCCCCCGCCCGAGCCCCGCGCGCAGCGCCGCGCCCTGCACCCGCACGGTGAGTGTCCGCCCCCGCCCTGCCCCCGCACCCCCCGCCCGAGCCCCGCGCGCAGCGCCGCGCCCTGCACCCGCACGGTGAGTGTCCGCCCCCGCCCTGCCCCCGCACCCCCCGCCCGAGCCCCGCGCGCAGCGCCGCGCCCTGCACCCGCACGGTGAGTGTCCGCCCCCGTCGCGCCCTGAACCCCCCCGCCCTGCCCCCGCACCCCCCGCCCGCCCGCGCGCAGCGCCGCGCGCACCCGCACGGTGAGTGTCCGCCCCCGCCCTGCCCCCGCACCCCCCGCCCGAGCCCCGCGCGCAGCGCCGCGCCCTGCACCCGCACGGTGAGTGTCCGCCCCCGCCCTGCCCCCGCACCCCCGCCCGAGCCCCGCGCGCAGCGCCGCGCCCTGCACCCGCACGGTGAGTGTCCGCCCCCGCCCTGCCCCCGCACCCCCCGCCCGAGCCCCGCGCGCAGCGCCGCGCCCTGCACCCGCACGGTGAGTGTCCGCCCCCGCCCTGCCCCCGCACCCCCCGCCCGAGCCCCGCGCGCAGCGCCGCGCCCTGCACCCGCACGGTGAGTGTCCGCCCCCGCCCTGCCCCCGCACCCCCCGCCCGAGCCGATTGCAATGGCAACATTAGAATGGTTTTGTTTGGAAAAAATACATTTCATTTGTTGACATTGATAACAAAAATATATAATAATTTCTCAGCTGTGGGCGAAATACCAGACAGTCCGGAGACTCCGCACCAGCAATCAGACCACGACAGCGACTCGTCCGTGTTCGACACAGTGAAGAGCCCCACCAGCCATACGTCCATCGATCAGCTCGACCAGGTAACACCTCCATGCCTATACATTTTGGTTGTATACGAAGTAATTCTCTAGAGAACTGAGATCACCGACATAGCTCTTCGAATTTGTAAGTTGAAGTGGCAGTAGGTTAGTCATATCTGTCGTTGAATCGCTTGCTGGAGTAGACGTTTTCTAAATGGAGGTTGCGTATTGGAAACGTACCGTAGGACACGCCGCAGCTAGGTGGAAGAAATGCTCATTTATTTATAAGTGCATTCATAAACTAAATACATAATACCTCAGGTTATACAAATAATCAAACTTATGAACATAAATGTTTTTTTGTAAGGCAGTGTGAAAACCGCGTTCTTCACGCGGTCAATTTTTTAATCTACCGCTCATTCGCAAATCACAAGAAGAACCAGCAACAAACTTGCGTGTTGCTCTTATAACTAATTCAGTTGTAACTTTACATTTTTAAATTGAAACGTGCGAATTCAAACCAATCAATTAAACACACAATCAACTGGTTGAGTAATTAAATAAGAGGAAATCAACTGCAGTGATTAGAGCAGATCAGTCCTTACAAGCAGCACTCTTTCACGAGTATGACGTATGAGCCAGCCATCACTGCAGTCAACAATATTTTAGGAGCCTGCTTACCCGGCTCAACATGCCGCCACATGACTGGACATTTAGTGAGCATGACTACTCAGGACACTCGACACATCATAGCTTACAACTTAATAGTTACTATGTGATAGTTATAGTATTCATTTATATTGCTTCTCTTGTTAATAATTTTAATTATTATCAATTTTTTGCAGAACGGTACACACCCACTTGGTTCCAGTTCATCAGTCACGAGCGGATCTAGCGGCTACAAAGTAAATATTTCTTATTATTATACCTATTTCTTATTGGTTAGTAAGCGGTAACCGTCGCCTATATACATATCTACTATGGACATCACTTACCATGAGACGCCTGGCGCGTTGTCAGTCCGGGGATTATGGTGTCAAGGCTCCATACCTGGTAATTACTCTGGTATCATCCCCCTCAAATCATAATTTAATAAAAATTTAACCATCGCTGTCGAACATTTGTAATAATAATAATATTAATTGTTTATTGCGCGTGAATTGAGTGTGCGAAGTGAATATTGAAATAAAAATTACATTAAAAATTACAAAAGTCATATCGCTTAGTCTTATTTGACAATCTCTGATAACATGGTATTGACAGAGAGTATTTACATAGAGAGAAACTAGGAGGACACTAGACACTATATTAGACAATATATTCATTTGTACCCTATTTACGACCCAAGCTAAGCTAGCTAAACCTTGTATATAAAAAATCTATATTTTTGTATCAGTTATCTAGTACCACAGATAATATAATATTACATACAGATACCCCATCCCATACAAGAAAATGGTTCCTTCCTAACTCGGGCTATTCTTCGGGCTATTTTATTTCGCCGCCGTAGGCGCTAGATGTCGCTATATCTGAAGCAGTTCGGATTACTAGTGGGTGATTAGTAATAAAGCATGAAAATAGATGGCAGAGAATTCGGTTTACATGACATCTGTTTTGCAAAGATACGTACATAATAGATATATAACTGTATCGAACTCCTGATTGGGTACAATCGAAAATTCAATGTAGGTATAATATTGTTCGCTGACAGTCTACAGACACGGCTAATGTACCTATGTATCTATGTACTATGTTACAGTTACTTTTTTACATGCCTACTTTTTTCTCCCGACGAAGATATGTCGTAACGCGTCTGCACTAAAATCGGGCTATCGGTTAAGGAGCAATAGCTCCTTAACGAATAGCCCGATTTTAATACGGTTTTTTTTATTTAAATTGTTATGTGATAGTGATAGATTTTAGCTATAATCAATTGATGTGCATATGGGTACCTCATATAATTTTCAGTATATAATTATTTCTCAATATGTAGTTAATTATGGTAAACTGGCAATTTGTAAAACTGAAAATAATATCTGCAAACCATCAATCTGTTATATGTATAGGTTTTTTCAGGGATACTACATCGGTGCTAATGACATGTAGGTACTTATTTTGATGTTATACCTATTTGTAGAACCTTCGATATCTACAAACTACGCCTTTACTGCTAGTTTTTTTGGTATTTATGTAAGTTGTTATTCAGTTGAAATTAAGCTGCGAAATTACAGGATATTTGGACATAACATCTATGTTCTCCGGAATGATAACGTATGCGGGATATAGAGGGCACGACATGATGACGTAATGCTGTTTAATAATAAATACGTAATATTATGTACGTCGGATAGCGTCGTGGTTGGATGGATCGTCAGCTTATTTACCATTTCAGTTAATAATAGTAGGTAGTAACTTTTGACAATATGGATGAAGGAGGGTAACGGTGATGATGATGAGATCAATAATGACTGTTGACGATAGTGACGGTGGTATTTATTTATGACCACCATAAAATTCATCATTGGCAGTATTCTCAACATTATCATCATTGTTCATCATGATGATTGAGATCAAATTAATTAATTGATTAAAAAAGTAGCAAGTATTAGGTAGGTACTAAGTCCTTATATGACTTAAATATAAGGTTCTGGGATGCTGTGATATACTACAGTCTCTAGATTTTGTTTCTTATTAGTATTCCACAACCAAAGTCTATAGACAGAGAAATATAGATTTACACAAAGTTTTTTGATGTAAATGGGAATTATTATACACATTGCATTAAAAAATATATATGATTACCATCTAATACAAAATCATTATGTAGTAAATAATTCCTGACATTTTAAATCGAATGAGGTGAAACTAACATTGCATGAACACAACACTTGAAGATCATAAAATTTTTATTTCAGGTAATAAAACACTTTTAAATAATTTATTAATCACAGAATAAACAATTGTTAATAATTTACAATAATATTTCTTTCACTGCTTGTCTATTATACCACTAAAACTTCAAACACTTCTGTTATTTTTATATTATATTCCAAATAAATAAATATCAAGACATAATATTTCATCAAAATCATTTCATAATTAATTCCTGGTACACAAAATATTCCTGGATTTGTTGATGAAGCAATATAATAATAATCATGAGCTTAAATCATAAACTTATTTGCAGTCGGTTACACATAATATAATTACTTGGAATTTCTTCTCATCACTAGTCCATTGCTTTCTTACTTATTTAATTATATTATTAATTGCATTGTGATTAATAATTTACAGATTTTTCTTCTGCTTTTTTCTCTTATTTTTACTTGCATTATTATTTTATACAGTAAAATGTTCATATATATATATATATTTCTTATTCTTTTGAACTCCTGTTCTTTACAGTAAAAATGTTATTTATCTTCATCTGAATGACTAGGAGATTTAGAATATCATCTCTTATTTGTTTAAACTTTGTTCAGTATTAAGTTGTTGATGTCAGGAAAATCTGAAAACAATATCATATACCATGTTACATTTCCATGAACTTACATGAAAGTAACTAAACTGTAACCTTATTAGTACAATAAACATATTATTCATACATCATATTCATTCAGTTCTAATAAAATATAAAAATAATACTACTGTTTAGTACTTTATTTTGATTAATAATTTTCAGTATTTTCTCAATCAATCAAAAATTATAAAATCAGTGTTAGTTTTTTGAAGTTACATTCATAACAATAATAAAAACATAATAATACCCCATTAAAGCGGTCACCAAGTACCTATGTTTAGTATATTTTAATATGAAAGATACACACGCATAGATATGCAAGTTTTTAACAACTTATAGTTATACCTGGTATGAGATAATCCTCAAAGAAACGATAGTTTACTAAATATTTGTAGTAGTCCTTAGACACATTTAAATTATTGAGTTTGACAAAAAATAAGAAGTTCAATGAACTCTGAACAGGAACAATTCAAAAGTTGAAGTACCTACTTAACTTAAATGATGAAAAAAGAGAAAAAATCCAATGCTAGTGAAAATATGTTTTAAGCATTTGACTTAAAGTCGTTTATCCTATTCTTTTATTCCTATATTTTATATTTTTAACATTTCATTTATGTTGCCAGTACTCGTTGTCATTTCGATATAATAAAAAAATGTGGACCAACCTACGATTTTAAATCGATATTTTTATTTGTGATGAAATCTAATAATATAAATTATGAATAACCTACCCTCGAATGGAGATATTAAAAAACTAATTATTATGAATAGTAGGTACTAGGATCAGTAATATATCATAGTATTATGAATGATTATCGTTTCAAAACCTTGTACAATTTAGTAAGGTTGAAAATATCCTTCTACAAAAGCAAAATTCGAGTATTTGTAAAGTTTCTTATGAGTATTTTTAAAAATTCGAGGATCCTCATATTTAGCTACCAATGTCAGTAATTTAGATACCATATAACACTTGTTTATTGAGGTTTCATAAAGGTATAGCTGACCTTATATACTCTATACCACATTCAATTCTCATTCATTAAATTACAATAAGTAGGTATTTATTTATTTATTTAATAGAAGAACTATGTCACTAATGTCATTAATTGCTATAATTACCAGGGTGACCGCGTGGAGGTTGATATAATAGAGTACACTTGTATCAGATCAATCTAATTAATATTTCCCTCTTCAAGTTTCGAAGTTATGAGCGAACAGATAAATATATAGTACTTGCATACCTGTCAAAATCTCTCTATTTTGCCGTCGTCGAGTAAAAATTATGCATTGCAATTCGTTCCAAATAAGAGTATAATACAAAATGATGAAATTTTACTGTTTGCAAAGACTAATTAAAAGCACCATCGAATAATGCGTTGTAATATCTTGTTATCGATTATTCGAAAAAATCGATAAATCTATGCATTTATTTTTAATATGGCAACACTTTCTAAATAAGTATTACTGGAATAATATGGTTTTCTTGTTTAGCTGTTTTATATTTACTTAAACTTTTTTTATGTTTAATTTATCATAATAATATAGTAAGTACTTATTATTTGAAAATATAAAATAAACATTTAAAATAAGGTGATACAAATGAAAACAGCGCCATCTATGAAAGTATTTTGGAAACAATAAGCCCCAATTAGCAATGATTAAATTGTAAACAAATACAGGGCAACAACAAAATGAGTAAATATATGAAAATTACTTTTCAAAACGCATTATTTCATTTTAACATCTATATATGACTTTTTAAAAATAGATTAAACCTTTTTAAAAACATAGTTTTGGGTTTTAAACGATTACAAAACAATGTTGAATTCCATTCGATACCAATGACGCCATCTAAATCCGTTTTTCGAACTAAAAATGGCTACTATGCCATTGATCCCCACTGCTAGTACCAATCTAGATAACTGATACAAATACATAGGTATACATTTTTTTTGTTAATACATAAATATTATATGTAGAAAACACCCAGACCGATACAAACAATCATACTCATGATTATAAATGTTTGTGCCGTGCGAGGAATCGAACCCGCAACCATCGGAAGTAAGGCGGTGTGCTAAACCGCTAGACTTCCAAGACTGTCGTTATTATATCATAACACGTGCGAAGTTGCAAATTGAACTAGTTTGTTGTGCAACTGTCGGATGGGTCGGTAGCATGCATGACGAATGTAATCAGTCGTCCGATTGCAGCAAAGTGTACGGGGGCGGCGCGCCGCAGAGCCGGCCTCCGCCTCCCTCGACCACGAGATCATGAGCTGCGGCCGCGACCTGCCCGGTGAGTTGTCCTCACACCACGCTCGCCACTCTCACCACACTCACTGCCACAAACATCCAACTCATCACCAACATCACATTCGTCACAACCCTCATCAATACTAACATCCGTCATATTTACTAATTAGAGGAAAAGATTAGGCGTAGTGGAATACGCTCGTCACAACCGTCACACACTTCACACCCCTCATCAATATTAATAATCCATTATTGGTATCCATTTACTCATAAGAGGAAAATATTACCTGCATTTGATGTTATTCCATACTTTCAACAATTTTTAAGAAACATTAGACTGTACCTAGTTTTTTCTGAACATCCCTTTTCGTTTCTTAGACAGGTCATACATTTGTATGTTATGCAATTTTTTAATGATATCAATATTGGTGTTTTTTCAACCTATCCACTCATTAATTATCAAAAACTGTTTAATAGATTTTTTTGGTTTTGTGGTTTTGTACATTACATAAATGCTTGTTCCAATTGTATATACATATATGGTAATAGTTAAAATAATATTTGTATCAATATGAAACTTTGGTTTTTTATGGAGATGAATAATATAATAGTAATGACTCATAACAATTCACACAACGCCATCTAGTCCCAAACTAAGCAGTACTTGTGTTATGGGTACTATGCGACTGATTCAAATACAAAGAAAATGAGACAAAATCGCGCCGCTAGCTAGCGCATTCACGCTTTCTTTAATCGAGAGTGCCTTTTTATTATAATTAATATTGTAAAATGAAGAACAGCTAACTCTAGAGCAAAGACATGATTGTAGATAAGACATATTATATTATAGATTTATTGATAATTTACAGAATTTAAACGGGTCTTTAATAAATGAAATAAATTTATTAATAGGAATTGAAATTACTAGAAACAATTACGCACAAACACACATGTGTGCGCGCCCTGGCTTTCCCGCAAAAATCGCGCGTGAAAGAACGTGTCTTGTAAAGGTAGCTAATGCGAGTGCTGGCGGCACGTGCGCTTCTCTCGTTCCTTTGTCTACATTTATCTAATAATAATAATAATAATCTAACAATCTCAGGACAATTCACACAACGCCATCGAGACTCAAGTTATATTAGCTAAAGCTTGTGTTATGGGTACTAGACGATAAATATAAATACATCGATATTTATTTTCGCAAATACATACATATTATACATAGAAAACACCCAGACGGATAGAAACGATCATACTCATGAATACAAATGTTTGCGCCATGCGAGGAATCGAATCCGCGACCATCGGTCATAAAGCGGTGTGCTAAACCGCTAGACCACGGAGGTCGCCAAATTTACACATGTACATTGTGCGAAAGCCTATTCGAGGAGAGGCAGCTTACGAGCGGGCGTGTGTTCCGGCAGCAGGCACGCACACGAAGCGGTCGTCGTCGGAGTGTCGCGACAGCGGCGCCTCCCCGCGGCGGGGGCTCGGCGCGCGCGACGACCTCCGCCGGAACAACTCGCTGCGGGACGCGCGCCCCGCCCCGCACGCCCCGCCCCCGCCGCACGCCCCGCACGCCGCGCCCCCCGCGCACGCCCCGCACGCCGCCGCACTAGAGCGCGCGTGATCGCCGCCGCGCCCCGCCCGCCGCTGCGGATCCGGCTCGCAAGGACCACGTGTTCGCCCGCCCGTACCGACCGTGGGTATACTGGTGTAGCGCGACCGAAGCCGTACAAAACGGAGTAAAATGACAACTGAACCCGATGTCTGTGTTGTGTAGCATTGCGTGTGTGTATATCTATAGAAATGTTATAAATTCGAAAATGTCTTGTTAATGTAAATCAATCAACGACTCTCTCTCGACGTTTTGACTGGGCACTAGCCGTGGTCGCGAACTGACGATGGATTTTAAGCACGATTAATTTTATGGTAAATAAAGATATTTACCTCTCAATGTTTCAAGGTTGCATCCTCTGCATGTATCTTAATGAGATTTGACGTGAAGATAGATTGTAACACCAAGACGCTGTTCTTTTAGCCCAAAATAATAACTGATGAATTCGATAAAATAGGGAATGCATAGTGTCGTTGCTGACAGCAGAAGTGTTAATTTAAATAGAATAAATACGTGTTTAATGCTATACTCTAACAACACATTTTGACTTATAGAATTATGTGTATGTTAGAGAATTTCGCATATAATTTCGACATTTGCTTTTCTTCATGGAAAAATAATAGTAACATTAGAAAAGTTAAATTTGCTATTTTTTATTATATATTGACAACAAATACTCTGTAAGTCAAAAATGTGTTTTGTATATATATATATATATTGGGTTGAGTTGCTATTTTCGTCCATTTTCTATTGCTTTAGTTGTCGTTCTAAGCCTTTAGGCAACTGAAGGGTTGCTACCGTCTTGCCGCGCGTCGTTCCCTGCCGGCCGATTGTGCTCCGCAGCTATTGGACTTTACAAGTATGCCAGTGAATATTAATTTTTATATTTATTATAAAATCACAGGCCTAATTCACACCGGACGCAGCGCATGGATAACGCATTGTTTTGCGCTATCGTGAATAGCAAATGTGATCGTAAGTGCCTGCCAGCCGGTTAATTGTTTCCATCTAAGTTAACTAATACTTTGGTTTAACTTTCGTTAAGTTTATTTAAAATAAATATTCGTTCTGTTTGTTTACAATACTTATTGTGTTGATATTATGTTGGCATATGTGTATTGCGCTGTAAAAGATATTTTCATAAAATCTGATGCGCTACGTTCGGTTTAAATTGGACCTATAATAAAAATTGTTAACAATAGTAAAATTGATTTATTGTGTAATTATGTAAATGTACACTGAACAACAGTTCAGTGTTCGTGTAAGATTCAATGTGCACGTAAAGATGATGTTAGCCAAAATGGCTTTATTTTGTAAGAGTAAGTCGAATCGGACTGTACTTCCAAAATTTAGGACATTCTTGACACTTGCGATGTGGGTTGTGTCCGTCGTTATGTTTATTTATAAATACTCGATAGTCAAAACGTATATCTTAGCTTTAAAATGATCAATTTGGCGGCGAAACGGTTTGTTTAGTGATATGTTTTATCACAGACATTATGTGACTCACATCTTGAGTTCAAGATTGTTACAAAATTATGTCTATTAAGAAATATAATAGAAAAAATAGTTTTCACAATAAGCTTCCTATTTGACACCACTATTGAGAATCATCGTATAAAAATTGTGCATAATTTGCTATCAGTTTGTGAGTATGAAGCCAAATTAAATTAATATCACTAGAGGGACATTTTACACTATCATACTGCGCTGAACTTATCATAGATATTATGTATTTATTTATAGTTATAACGTACACAGTGTTAAGCCAAATTGATAGAATGTATACAATTTTGCTAAACCTATCGAATTGAGATTACGTGCGCTGTACTTTAGTGTGAAATGGCCCTAAAATGTCACTCTCGTCTCGTATATTGTTCTTTCTCTTCGTTTCCGTCAATATTCCGTTCCTTATTTCGCATTACCATACATTTTATACTACGATTATGGCAATCAAGTATACGGCCCATTTGATGGTAAACGGTTACCATAACCTTTGGTCGTGCGCGATTTTATAAAGATTCATATAAATATAAAAACTATAGGGATAAGTCTCTTTATTCCTTTAGTATCTCTTGATTCGTTTCTACTGAAAGGTTTATTGCTAAATTATTAACTTTATTTATTTCTTAAGAAAATTCTTGTTTATTCTGTACTTAAACAGGTATTGATGATGCGCGACGTATATATGTGATACATTTGAATACTTTCGCTGACCTGTTAATATCGATATGAGAGTGGCATACAAACAGATTTTAATGTGATATATATAAATAAATATATTAAAGTATAGGATCGAGCCATGTTCATAGTTGTATACATATTTTTATTGTTTGTAAGGATTTCGGCGACCTCTATGATCTAGCATTTTAGCACCCTTGCTTTTCAATGGTCGCGCGTTCGGTCCCCGTACAATACAAATATTATATCTAGGAATATATTTCTGTGTATTAGTCTGGGTGTTTTATTATGTAGATGGCTATAGTTTATTTACAACTTAAACAACAGACGTTGTAATGAAATCAACACGGCTCGATTTCTACTTAACAAATCCCTTAACCGTTTCTTAAACACTGTGTTCCACCGTCATTATTGAAGTAAATAATAAATAAATAAATAAACATAATTTCCTTAATGTCAATTCACATCCATCGGAACGCAAAAATCGTAGCGCGTGGAACATACAATAAATAATGGAACGTGATTTTTTTGTAAGTATACAAATAGCTGTATTTAGTAAGCTTAAAAGTGTATTAAATAATGAGAAAGTTATATAAAGAAATATATTGAAACCGGCCATGTATTTTAAAATGTTAAAACGCTATCCATGTACTGAATTATCGCTAACACGTTAGTTAAGGCCTGAAGAATATTTGATGCTGTATTTTTGCAACAAGGATGTATGTTTGAGACCCTTTACCTACTGCCATGAATTTAGGAAAGCTTAAAATTCGCTTTTGACATACAGAACGTAGAATTTTGGCGCCATAAATAAGACGTTATATTATATAACAGTGAAATCGTTTATAATTATTGGATATTATATTTATTTTTAATTTATTATTAAAAATATACACCACAGGCGATTTCATATATATCTGATGTATTTATATTGCAATATTAGTAAATTTTGCATTTAGTTTTTTTTTCTGTTTATCCTTTAACGGAAAGGCAAAGGGAACTGAGCCCATACAGCCATTTTTGCATTTAGATTTAATGTCCATGACAATTAATTAATGTCATTTTAAATCCAATATGGCGAACCAAGATGGCGCGGACTAGTTTTCTATGTATTTCAATTATAATTGAATATTAAATTTGACTATTATAAGTATCCATAGAAGACCTAATTTCATAAAGAAAATTTGATGTAATGTTGTTTATATTTTTTTAGTGTATTATTCTTGTGCACATTAATGTTTCACGTTCTGTATGTTAGAGTCTTTAGTCGTTAGTATATGTAAATAGATTTGCACTTGATGATATCGCATTCACTACATGAATATACAAGGCTAGTCGTATAGGCCGGAAACTGAAAATCTGGAAACTGAACCACATTCGCCAAGAAATAAAGTGGAAATTTGAATATAAAACTCAGTATTTACTTTGAATTTTTGTACTAAATTGATGACCTGATCGTGCAGTTTATATGAACGTTTTGAAATTTTCAAACGGTTATGTAGTTTCTTTGAGTTTGTATTTGGTTTTTCTTGCCTTTCGGCTTTCAATATATTTATCCTGTCGACTAACCCTGTAAATGACTAATGATTAAAAAATAACAGTTCATATTGGAGGCTATAGTGTACGAAATCATAGTATAGTTTGAATTGAATCTGACAAGTCATATTTCAGTCAATCGTTACCGTAAATGACGCTTGGCTATATTTGCGGCTGCAAGTTTCCACCAACTGATATGTATGCGATTTGTATGACTATATTTGTTATATTAATATGCTCATGACTTTATCTACTACTACCGACCGGTCCCGGATTCACACGCCTTCAATTATCGTATACATCTTTAATTGTTTTAATAATAAAATACACTCCATGTTACTCACTAATAATGGCAGGACGAGACGCCTAAATAATTATAACAACTTAAAAAATCTCGCTGATATAGGTGAAATTATTTTGAAATCTATAAAATTTTTCTTTATTTATTCATACCAAAAAAAAAAGACATGTCTTTCTTCTTTATAACATAAGATCAGAAGAGCTAATTTGTTGTATTTATGAGTTAGATACTTATATGTTTTACTTTTATATGAATTCTATTATTATATTAGTGGTCAGTAATACCAGTATTTTACACTGCTTGAATAGTCTTTGTACTGTAACGGGACTTTCTTTCCGTGACTATTTTTGTTAAAAATACAAAATAGATTATTCATCTTTTTTTTTTCAGTATTTCGGCCTCGGAGGTCTAGTGATTTTAGAGTACCGAATTACCAACATATTAAAATCTATAATTTTGCATGGAATGTTTCTAATAATGTTAAATAAGTGGTTATTACATTGCGGCACCGCTGGCATGATAAGGTCGTGAGCATAACCGGCTTTTAGTTAACTTTTAATAAGAAAAATATTCACCAGTCCATTTGCACCGTATTAATTGTAGAATCTAATGTTGTGAGAGTTGAAAGTGGTAGCCTAATAGTTTAGGAGCCGTGATACCTTCACTTGCATTTAATGTGCCACTACCTTAATTGTCAATATTTGTATTGTACCATGAAAATAAAAATTGTCTATTTACTGAAGAAAGTAAACAATATATACGAAAAGAAAACAATGATCTACGGGGTTATTATCTATGCTATTAATTGAAATGTTGTAGTGTTGATACAAAATGAACCTTATTTATATAACGCAGTTTTAAAAAACTTATAAATTTAAAAAAATTGAAAATTATAAATATTCATAAAAAACTTTATGAAAATTTATAATTTTGACATTGATAAGGATACTTTCGCGGTTCTTTTTGCAATCCGTTCAGTTTTTACTAAAATAGT